TATTGTTATAAATAGCGGTGCTATGTGACACTGCCTCAAGTGATGATTCAGCATGGCGAATCATTCAAATGCGCATGTGCATGTATGAAAAGGGGATATCTCTGTTTTCAGTAACTACAATTGTACGTTTTTCAGGTGAGGTATTCAATACTGAAATCCTACTTCTCTGTGATTGGCTTGGTGTCTGCTGCTGGGATTATGGCTCTCTATATCATCTACAACTTTGCCTGGGCTATGTCCAACATATGGCTCAGCCACTGGACAGAGGACCCAAGTCTTAAGACTATTGCCCATCTTCAGGCTAGGAACTATACCAGTCGGTTGAACTCATCTGGGAACGAGTTTAACATCACTGTGGACAGTTCAGTCAGCAGAGACAAACTGCAGTCGTTGTCCTACTACTATTTGGGCGTATATTGTGCTATCGCATTAACTCAAGGTAAGTACTGTGGGACACCATCACCACTGGACTAAGATCTGTTTGTTTGTTGTTTAACACCGCACTCAGCAACATTGCTGCTATATGACGGGGGTCTGTAAGTAATTGAGTCTGGACCAGACAATCCAGTGATTGACATCATGAGCATCGATCTACACAATAAGAATACGATAACAAACATCAAACAAGTCGACCCGTGAAGATTCCGGGGTAGAATAGGTCTTCAGCAACCCACGCTTGCCATATAATGTGACTATGCTTGTCGTAAAAGGTGAGTAACAGGATCGGGTGGTCAGGCACGCTGACTTGGATTGATGCTCATGATATTAATCACTGGATTGTCTGGTCCAAACTCGCTTATTTACAGACCGCCTTCATATAGCTGGAACATTGCTGAGTGCAGCTTTAAACAACAAACCAACCAATCATCAACCAAATCAACGAGCATGACCACCCGATCCCGTTGGTTGCCTCTTACGACAATCATAGTCGCATGGGTTGCAGAAGACCTATTCGAAACCGGGACTTCACGGGTCCACAGAGTCAATGACATGTCTCTTCATGTTTGTGGTGCTATTTCAAACAACAATGAGATATTGTGGTTTGGAGAAAATATACGAAACACATGAACCAATATGCAATCGCTTTTAACCCATGCATCAACAATGGGGCTAATCCACATTATTTTCGTCACTCTTGTCAGTCACAGGTGGGCGTTCACTTGTACTTCTTCCGAAATCACCAATACATCTTCCGAGAAACATTCATATTCCATGATAACTCATAAACTATTGTCACTGTCAGAGTCGGACATATCGGGAAGTCATGATCGGGATACTGCAAAAGGGAACAGCCGATGCTTCATCATCTTATACACAGATCAGCGAATACAAGAAAGTCTCACAAAAATATAAATGAGAGCACCGAAACACGGAAAAAAAACGCAATTGAAGAAATAGTATGTTTCGCACATTTTTTTTCTCACCGAACATTGCACTCAATTTGTGATGCAATCTCCTTAAAATCAGATCTTAGTTCCCGCTATCGCTGAACAAAGCTTTGTTTCCCGGCAGCGAGAACTTAGATCTGATTTTAATGAGATTGTCTGTGATGTAAATGGCCTTTATCACATTTCCGTTGGTGAAAGGACGAGGAGTATATTTCAATCCTTTAATCCCACTCCTACGAAGGAAAGTACAGTGAACAAATGGTCATTGTTTACATATGGACAGGAGAATGCCTAAGAGTTAAAAAGGGTGAAGAAATTATTTGCTTTAATTTGCCAAGAAAGTGGGCAGCCGACCATAACCGTGAAGGGAGGCTTGCCTACTTGAGTGCGAAAGAAGGACGGACTAGTGTGATCAAGCATGTAGTTTTTTAGGTAATTTCCTCCAACAAGACCATATATGGAGCCTCTGTATATTGGTTTTAGCCTTTGAGATTGATAGACATGACAAAAGTGCAAAGGAACCTTATATATGCGCCGTGTTCGATGTTTTGAATACGATTGCAGCGCTTAGACTCCACCAAGTCACTTCTTGGAAATCAACATGACATCTTCCACTATAAGGGTGACAGATTATAGAAATCGTGACAAAATATGCGAACTAATTATTTTTCTCAAATCACATTGTTTTAGTTATTACTTAGTACTTATGTAGTTAGTAGTTGGTTTGACATAACTCCAGTAACAGTTACACATTCTAAACGGCCATTTCTCCACCCAGGACTTGGACATGGCTGAACTTGACACCCTGTCCATGTTTGCCAAAGTAGTTGAACAGAGTGACAGTGCTATTTACAAAATGTTTGAACCCAGAGGACAACCTCGATCTGTATTTAGGTTCACCATTAACCTGATGATTCACAACTGACGAGGTCGTCTTAGGTACCGCGATTCGCAGAGCACAGTTGCGTCGCTTGCGCACGCCAGAAACCTATGATTGTGGGTTCGCCCCGATTGTTTCTAGGTTTGTCAGCACCATACCCGTGCTCGTGGGTTTCACCGAAGTGGCTTTCCTCCCACATTAAGCTGACACGCTGTGATATAACTGGAATACTGTTAAAAACGGCGTTTTACCCAACTCACTCACTCATGCCATTGACCTGCTCGCACAGCCTCATTGCCAAAAGCACCACCTTGAAGAATGGCTGAATTTTTTTTAGCTGAAGATAAGTTCTCATTGTAAGTTTGAGAGACTGCTCATTCTTGTCACCGATGATTGTGTGGCCCTGACACAGAAGTTAGCAGCAGCCAGTGTATTATGCAGCCAGTAGACATGTTTTTGTGTGAAAAGGCATGTTAATTGTGAGGTTTCCAATGGGATTTGATATCTGATGTTAATCTAATTTTGACCAATCAGAATCAAGAATTCTTCAATCTCCAGGGCCCACTTGCACAGAACAATCTTAGTTACAATTGATCTTAGGCGGCTACAATCAACTTTACAATCACCATACAATTGTCCTATTCCACTTGCACAAACCGATCTTGGCGCGATTGTAAGACGGCTTGGAGTTAAGATCGCGATCTTAGCTAAATTGAAATCTTCAACTGTGGAGGTACGAATATTTTAAACTCGACTCCTGTCTATAGTTGTCTGCAAACGGGCATAGTTTGCTGCGCATACAATAAGTGGCACCGGTAACGACACGCAACACGTACCTGCCTCCATCGCACTTTGAAGGAAACGATTACTAGAATGAAGGCATATATTCTTGTCGGCATTAATACTGTCGTGATTTAGGAATTGTTTTCTATTTCAACAAGAGAAATACCTTCTCGTGTTTTTATTCAAAGTATTGAAATACGAATAAATACATTATTTAGTAACACAATTATTATGAAAATTAAAATAAATAATAATAATATTTCCTAAAACCATAACGTGTAAATGCATGATCGTCATCTATTTAGAGAAGTTTTTCCTAAAATCCTAAATATATACTTCATGTTTTCGTTTCGTTGCTACAACAAAGGATGTTATGACTACCATTTCAAAATACAGAAAGACGGGAACTTTCAAAAAGGCATAGACAAAAAAAATAAGAATAATGAATAATGTTTCGAGAAAGCAATTGTTAATATATATTCCCTAGGTATTAATTTAAAAAAAATATATTTGCTATTTAAGGGATATTTTGCAAAAAAATCAAATGTTTCATCATGTATATTTGCTTGTCTGATGAATACTTGTATTTTTTCTTTTAAACTCTGATATTTAACCGCTCGTCCCTGTCCCATTTGTTTTAGATTTAAACATGTATGATTTGCTCTATAGCTTGTATTTATTTGTAGATTAATTTCATGATAAACTAAAGACAAAATAACCGACACGAATATGACCCCAAAAAATATAGGGGAAGCTCAGCGATTCAACAACATTGATGCACTGAGTAAGGTAGATTGTACTCTACGGGCTTATACAAAGGGAAACCACTCCCATCTAGAGTGTAAACTAAGATTAGCTGCCCTTGATTTATCGAAAAGGTCACGGACGTTACAAATTCCTTGCGGGACGACTTAGGTTTTTATCCTTCCCTTGTTTAGCGAAAAGGTATGTTGTTTCACATTTCTTTCAGTATTGAGTCGGATGGGAATATACCTTTTAGCTATCGACTCGATAGTTATGTGTTTAACTATGGTAATTAACGATATTTCTGACGTTAAATCTGTGGTGCGTTCTTCATGTTGTTAAAGTGTCGATGCGAATGATAACGTTTAGCAAAAAAAGAAGCAATGTTTGAACGTAAAGCAGATTATTTATGTGAAACAGACTAAGCCTTGCACGCCATTTTGTCAAGTTTATTCAAGGACTACAACGATCTTAGCTACTTAAGATTGGTCCGGACCAATTGTAAGTTTCGATTGTAGCTTACACTTATATTAGTCTACAATCGCTTTGTGCAAGTGGATGACGATTGTAGTCGAAGCCTAAGATCGCGATCTCAAGGATTTACAATAATTGTAGCGCTAAGATCGCTTTGTGCAAGAGGACCCTGGTGGAGTAATTGAGAGTAATCAAAATGTTTCAGAGTTGTCCACAACAATTTTTTGGAATAATCTGTCCGTAAATAAACAAACATTTCATAGACAAACACTTTTATTAATGAATATGTTTACAGCCTAGAAAATTGTTAATCTTGGTCTTCATCCAATGAGTTTGTCCATCATGACTTAATTACACATGGTACACGAACACCTAGCACTGCCAGTGTATCGTCAGAGCTCCAGATAAGCTTTTAGTGTTGTGGGTATTTTACCCATGCATTTAAAAATCATTGGGTATCAGTAATTCTATCTGCGTATTCAATTTTCTGTTACCCACTAGTTTTTACACATGTGGGTATTTAAGTTAAATATTTAAAAACACTATTCATCTAGTCCCTGCAAACTGGTGCCGTGTGGGTTCGAGAGCTTTATAGGACTCAAAAATACCACGATACTTCCACAAGAAAGTGTGATGGCAAATGATCATGATGTAACTGTCATCGTGGAGTTGCTGATTTGCTAATCGAATACGCAGGGTTACTTCACAATATTTTGATGATACGCACAAGTTTTATTTTTGTAGCGTATCTGTAATGTTCGTTGCGTATTTGATACGCTTGGATTATATTTTACTGTGTATTTCTGCATTTCTGATGCGTATTTCACGCAGATACGCAGCTTATCTGGAGCTCTGATCGTTCCTGTGGACCTTTGCTGCATCCAAGACAAGTACATCCACACTACACACACTCACACACAGGATCACCATACGGGCACAGTTCACGTCATGATTTGTCATGTTTTGAGTCAGACTGTGTGGAGCTCTCCACAGTTATCTCCCCTTTGCTGAACTTGTCTACAATGTCGTTGGCGTAGCAAGAATGGAAGAGGTCCTTGGCCGTGAACTTGGTCTGTGTGATGTTGGACACCTTGTAGGACACATAAGGCTTCAACTGGAAGGACAAACATCCCTAATGTTATATAATATTGAATATGTATCTTTTGTTTAACACACTCAGCAATATTTCAGCCATATGATGGCAATCTGTAAATAAGTCTGGAGCAGACAATCCAGTGATTGACATCATGACCATCGATCCACGCAATGAGGATATGATGACATGTATGTATCAACCAAGTCAACGAGCCTGACCACCCGATCTCGTTAGTCGCCTCTTACGACAAGCAGAGTTGACTTTTACGGCAAACATGGGTTGCTGAAGACCCATACTCTAACTTCACTGGTCTGATTTGTATCTGACAACATGACTAAATGTGAGTCCGCTTTATGCTCCAGTTACAGTCTATCATCATGTGGTTGTATCTCACTTGTGACCTGGAACAAGGGGCACTGGTTGCCAAGTGGTTTAAGGCATCACATTTTGCAATGCAGAATAGAAACCTATGATCGATGGTTCCAATCCTGGTTCGCCTCGATTATGTTTCTGGGCTTATCAGCACCATACCCGTGCCAGTGGGTTTTGCCAAAGCAATAAAACGTCTGAGACCTGCATCACTTCGGGCTTTCCTCTCACATTAAGCTGACACGTCGTGATATAACTGGAATAGTGTTAAAAGCAGATTTAAACCCAACTCACTCACTGTTACACTTGGGGGGTAAGGACAACCTGAGACAACACTTACTTGCCCAAAAGGAACATTCATGATAGAAAAGCTTGGGTTCTGTACACACAAGTACACTGATGTTTTTATTTCTATCTTAACAAGAACAATCCAGAAACAATCTCACTAAAATCATGTCTTTTACAGTCATCTTGTTAATCCGACAATTGGCTATTTAGGATATCTTTTGCATCACAATAAGTGATATGATGTCATAATAGTAACGTGCAGTATAGAACGAAATCTTTGCAAGGCTTGCCTGCATTTCTTAAGGGATGGCCACATCATGTTAGCTAACGAAGTTGCCATGCTTTCAGTGTCTGTCGTAAATTCGAGTGAAGTATTACAGTGTAAACAAACTGCTTGAGCATTTAGAGATCCACATTTTGTTTAAAGGCTGTTGTCAGTGATTCCATAAATTTTTATCGACATCAAGCTAAAAACACTGGACTCAACCCATGCCACTTCATCCCATGTATTTGCTGACACCAAAGATTTCACGTTTTATTCTGTCATGGTAGAAATAATGGAGATAAACATACTGTTTCAATGTCATCTTCCCGAGACAAGAGAGTTAACTGACTATACAAGTCCAGTTTCCGCCCTTGCCGAACTAGGCTGGTATTATGGAGTTACATTATGGCTGGACATAATCCAATCAAAATTGTGCAACGAAATGGAAATCCGATTCGTAAAATGTCATGCAGATTTTGGTCAGTTGCAGGATTTGGAAAGCATGTGTACCGCCAACTTGACGTCAACAGATATTTTCCAAATCTTTTCATATTTTTAATCAAGGTGCTGACGTGATTTGATGCACTTAGCGATGTAAGACCCGTTTTATCACAATATAGATCTTGATTATCGATCACACTGTCTTGACTGGCCGCCGCAGTTTTGTTTGAAGCAAATGCAAGTGATGGTGCACGAGAGGTGGAATCTGATTGGTCCATAGAAGAGACATAGAAGGGACATAATAGCCACTGGTCGATCTAGCCCAGGAATTCCAGCCTAGTTTGGCAAGGGTGGAAACCTGACTTTTAAAGTCAGTTAACTCTCTTGCCTCAGGAAGATGTTTCAATGTAGACCTAGCTTACCTGTAGATTTAACCGTGTGATATTTAACATTTGAAACCTCATGCTTCATGTTCGGTTCCAATCTAAATTCAGTTACATCACAAGGTGTCTGTTTGATGTGGGAGATAAGCCCAAAATTATTCAGGTATTTGATGTTTATAGCTTTGTTGAAACCCATAAGCACAGGTATAGTGATGACAAACCAAGAAACACAATCAGTGCAAACTGGGAATCGAATCATACATTTCTTGGACACAAGGGACACAACTCTGAGCAGCATTAAAATCAGACCTTAGTTCTCCCTACAGCTAAACAAAGATCTGAGGACATCCCATTACGGGTCACGTCAGACCGACCTTGAGCGAACTTTGACCGACCAATAGAATGACCAATCAGAAGGCAGCTTTCTTGTGCTTTACGGCACTTATTTCAAATTGGCGACTACGCTTCGAAACATATTTTGACAAATTCTCGATTACAAATTTGAAACCTAAACAAAAGAACATTCTGGAATGGCTAATGGGGGTCTTGATTGTATGGATTCAGTCGTTAAACCTGTAACTATCATTTGGAATACCCTGTGTTAAAGTTTTCGAGGTTGTATGATTAGAAATCAATTCTGACTGTCACTTTCATGATCTGGTAAGCGACGCTCTCATTGGTCGGATGAAAGGTCGTTCTGACGTGACCCCTTATGGGATGTCTTCAGATCTTTGTTTAGCGGTAGCGAGAACTAAGGCCTTATTTTAATGAGATTGCTTTAGATGGCACTTTAGAGCCCCTGATCAATCTGTAAACAAACAAAGTCTGGTGTAAATCTATGTCACCTTGAAGTCTGTCAGGTCTGGTACAACAAACTCCGGGATCATCTCGGGCACATTCCTGTATCTCCCTATCTGAGGGTCCTGAAATCCTGTGGGTGGCACAACTGCAAACAGAAAGGAGATATTATTTTTATCGGAAGGTTGAAAATGTTTCAAATGAAAATGACATGTGAGTGGATAAAGCAGGGTTTGACAAATGTCTTATCTACACACTAGTCCACTGGTCCAGTAAGAAATAAATACTACTGGCCCAGATATTAAGTTACAAGTCCAACAGAAATTTAAGAGAGCAAACACTTGTCAATATAGTCAAAGTCATTTTATTCATGACTATACTGACTTTATTTCATGCACTTCTAACCATGGATATATGAGCTTGTTGGAATGTCCTTCCCCTCTTTCTTGCACTTTGTGTTGGTTCACAGGGCTTTTCAATTTGCCGTAGTGACTTTAAAAAATTCCCTGAAACGGCTCCTGCCATGACGGCCATTACAGAATACCGGTATGCGAAGCGTAGAAAGTAGCATTAATTTGATAAGTCACATTAATCACTTCCTGTTTGTTACGATGGAATTTATTGGTTATTAAAAACTTGTCTCTCACTTTCCTATGTAGAGTTGTTATCATAGCATGTGCATGCCACACGGACATAAATGGCCAGTTTACAGATCTTTTATACATCGTGTTATGGTCTCGGTAAGGGAGGTAACTAAGATTGGAAGTTGGGAGAGACAAGTTGATGTACGGCTTTTGTTGACTGAATAAAAGATAGAGTGAGTTTTAACCTGACTTAAAGCGACTGGTACACCATATGATTTCAATAGCCAGCTGGTCCAGTATATATATAAAATAACTGGCCCAGATCAAGTTTCACTAGCATTTGTCTAGTTGGCCGGCGTATTTGTCAAACCCTGGCATAAAGCTGCTAACCAACAGTGATACAGTAAATATTGTTTCACACCGCAGCCAAAAACATGAGAAATAATTCAGTCTTGATCAGGCAGACCAGTGACTTAAAAGTATCATCCACAAAGTCATTACATGTATCTTTGAATAGAGCCATACTTTTGGAAGTGTGGTTATGCTGTGAGACTTGTTGGTCAGAAGACATGAAAGCAGTTATGTTTAATGCCTTGGCTGCTTTGTCTAAAAGTAGTAACAGTGTTCCAGGCCATAAAATCATGTGCTATAGGTAACATATATGTACAAAATGGACAAATGGCAGTCCCAGGTTGACAGGGTTTACACGATGCACAAGTGTAAAGAAAGAACGCTGATAAAAAATAAACTGTGTCCGAAAAGGATGCACAATAATATTAATTGTACCTTTCATTCATGACCACTGTCAACATGATCATTAAATTATCAAAATGTAGAGTACACTACACCATTTCAGTAATTTACAGGACCTCCATATCACCTGCAAGGACCCTTAAAATTAATTATTGGGGGTCCCCTGGACCCCTACTTCTGTAAGTCAAGGTAAAACCCTGACCAGTTCAAGTTTTTAATAGCACACTAACTATCTGATTGGTCAAATATTGACTAAAAAAACAGTGAAGCATTTTCTGACTGAATTTCAAACAAACCTAAACTCAACGTTAATGTTCCATCACAGACGCATTTTATGAAACAAACAGCTTCTTTTAGCACAAGTTGACACAATTTTGAAAACTTGGCCAAACCTGAGACAATGCTTTGGAAACAAGGTCACAAGTGTCATAGTCCGTCTACACTTCTCACACTGAAACATAGTTTCTACATACAAGCTCAGTGATTGAACTGTGAGAGTGATGTTTAGAAGTTTCTATAAATAATTACCACAAATTGCCCACAACAGAGCATTAGTTCATGAACAATAGATTTGTTTTGCACAACTATTTTTGCAATAGTATTCTTATTCAAATATATATATCTGATGAAATATCTTATTCTCAGTGTGTATCTTTATCAGTAAAGTGATTCCATGAGGATTGTTCCCACAAATATAATTACTAAAGTTGTGAATGAATTTTAATTTAACATTCAACAAAACTGATTGCATTAAATGGTGTCTGGTAAAAACAAAATGTAGATCACTACTGAGTTTACTTATTGTCCAAAGGAATAAGGTTTAATCAATAATATTGTGAAGCTTCTCAAACTTAATTAATGTTGTGCCAAATAAATGAGTCACTCTGCTAGTCAAGGATATTGTTGTGTGTGATAAAACGTTAGAAAAAAATACTTTGGTTAGACTTCACCCAGTATCCCCCCTCAAAAATATATATCAGGGCTGTGAGCAGGTGTTCTCCCAAAAAGAGGAAAAGTCTAGGGGGTGTCTGGGGGCCTGTTTACTTTTGGAGGGCAGATACGGATGGCAGTCTTTCCAATACTTTAACTTAATAATATTGGTACACATAACAAGGCTTATCTGGATTATATATCAGATATATTCTTACGCAATGTAGCATCTTTAATGCTCTCACTGTTTACTGCAATCCAGCATGTGATTGTAACTACAAAATGATAACGCGGGAATGATTCATTACACTTAAATACAGGGATACAGGGTAATTCTAGGGTAGGGCCTTGTGCTTATAGCCCCTAAATCTTGAACTGTCAGGGTTTTACCTTGACTTATAGAAGTAGGGGTCCAGGGGACCCCCAATAATTAATTTTAAGGGTCCTTGCAGGTGATATGGAGGTCCTGTAAATTACTGAAATGGTGTAGTGTACTGTACATTTTGATAATTACTCTAGAGTCTGGGATGAATAAATGATCACGTTGACAGTGTTCATGAATAAAGGTACAATCAATATTATTGTGCGTCCTTTCGGGACACAGTTTATTTTTTCTCAGCGTTCATTCTTTACACTTGTGCATCGTGTAAACCCTGTCAAACTGGGACTGCCATTTGTCCATTTTTGTACATATATGTTACCTACAGAGCTCACGTGATTTTATGGCCTGGAACACTGTTACTACTTTTAGACAAAGCAGCCAATGCATTCGATGTAACTGCTTTCAGGTCTTCTGACCAATAAGTCTCACAACATACACTTCCAAAGGTATGGCTCTATTCAACGGTACATATAATGACTTTGTGGATGGTACTTCCAGGTCACTGGTCTGCCTGATCAAGACTGAATTATTTCTCATGTTTTTGGCTGCGGTGTGAAACAATATTTACTGAAAAAGGCCCACATTTTCAAATACAATGGAAAATTCCTAGAGTGAACCCTGCCTATATGTATTAGCGGCCAATAGATGTCAAATAGTAGATGCGTGATTGCAGGATCTCTCAATTTGTATACCGTGTTTTGCGACGACCTCCTCCATCTCCACACTCCCGCCCTTGACATGGCGGTTCACGTGCTTAGCAGTGACTGGGAAACGTCTGTCAAACGGAACTCGCGTCTTCTTCCCTTGACGACAAGAAGAGGAGCCAAAGTAGCGCCGCGAGTGGGCCAAAACGACTGATCTGACACTGGATTCACAGACATTCATCTTGAGGAGGAACACGACCGGAAGTCAGCGACACGGGAGCCACCTAGTGGGTAACATCAAAATGTAGGAATATCAGAATCTGAATATCGCCGGTATACTAAACTAAAACGAAAAGAAACTATTTGATATTTTTAGCGACCGAGTGAACGAGTTGGGTTTGACGTCACTCTGGAGTCTGGTGAGTGTTTCAGATATATACATGATATTAGGTACATATCGAGAAAACAGATAGCAACTTCAAAAGATGGAAAACATTTGTCTTTATGTCGTCTTTTGTTACTGATAATATCGAATACTAAACGTGATACCACGTTTTATGAAACGAGTGAATAGTTCTGGTATCTGACGAGCGAAAGTAAAATTGTTTTTACACGGGAGCGAGTTTAGTATTTTATTTATTACTTGCCATTTATAATGTTTTTAGAATTGTACTGTTGAGTGTGAATAGGCTGACACCTACACGATCCACGACATAATCCAATTGAATTCAACAGAATAATACTTCAAACACGTCAAAAGTTGAAACGTATGAATTTAATACCATACAACGGTCCACCTTTAGAATTCAGGCGTACTTTCCACAAAATTATCGCAGCTCACATACTTGAACATATAGACGTACGACAGTCGTTGCTCTACAGTACCATCGCCTTGTGGAACGTGGCCCTGCACCACAAAGTTTACAATCACGTCACAATACCCGATGACGTAATTTGTGGAATTTTGTTGCAAGATCCATCAGCGAAACAATGCCATGTGACGTCAGCCAAGCAACAAGGTTGCTTGGGGTCATCGAGTGTGCATAAGCTCCTCTCAGTGATATATCATCTCCCCACGCAATGTCGTTGAATACATGTAAGCCGAGGGATGTAAAGAGCTTTCAATATTTGTTCGTGAAACTTGTTCCGAGAGTACATAAGCACGCGTTTTGGTATTACACAATGTGTAATACAACTGTATGTTTATTAAACGGGTGATCTCTTCACGGGCAAGTAATAAACATCGTTATCATGTTCTGTGGATAACATTATTCCACAGGTGGTTTTGCAGAAAAAGGTTTAGGTAGTCAGATTTATTTATTTATCGTTGTTAACTGTAAACATAGCGTTGCTATCAAACCAAGAAGGGCGACAAGGGTGAAGCTTGCATTCGAGCCTACGACTACAGTAAGCTGTTGTCTAGCAAGCCACCAAAACTCAGTACTTTACTTGTAAGATTTACTTCCCAGTTAACTCACACATTGATAATGCTAACAATAATCCCAGTAAGGCACTTCAGTTGGAGCAGATTAAAGTTTACAAACAAAACTTTGTGCTTTACTCTGATACCCAACTATTATGTACACTGTTAAAATAAGAAACGCACTGGTAGACTTTTAGTATGTTTATTGTACCTAATAAAGTCGATATATTTAATTTAATATCATAGATACAAATATGAAATTTTTAACCTCGGTAGTCACATGTTATCGTTGTACAAAGACATTGAAAACTGTTTATTGTCATGTCACATAAGGCCACGAGGTTGCGCTGAACTCAGTTTATCGTGTGACCGCCCCGGGCAGCAATTACGGCTCTGCATCTCCTCGGCAAAACATTTTGATTTACTATATTATACCCAATTAGTATGTATTTACATCAATGATTAACTTCCCAGTTATTTGTTTGTTTGTTGTTTAACGCTGCACTCAGCAATATTCCAGCTATATGACGGCGGTCTGTAAATAATCGACAATCCAGTGATTGACAACGTGAGCATCGATCCACGCAATTAGGATACGATGACATGCATCAACCAAGTCAGCGAGCCTGACCACCCGATCCCGTTAGTCGCCTCTTACTACAAGCCTAGTTGCCTTTTACGGCAAGCATGGGTCGCTGAAGACCTTTTCTACCCCGGATCTTCACGGGCCAGCTTCTCAGTTAACTCCCCAAGACAGTGTAAACTTTCAAAAGATATCGAAAACAATAATAAAATTTGAGCTCTTTGCTCACATACAGTAAACTACGGTAATAAGAAATTAACTAAAAGGAACCACTAATTTTAGTTCGTTATAACCGTAGTTCGATATATGCATATCTACAGCATATAAACAGCAAATGGACAAGACCCCAAAACAGTTCGTTATAAGCGTGTTCGTTATATACGTAGTTTACTGTATTTTAGCCAACAACAGGCACTCGTCTCCTGTCAAAATGTCTTACTAGCTTCAGTGATTCTAACCATTCGATGTCCCGGTCCCTAACCGTTATTCGATGTCCCGGTCCCTAACCGTTATTCGGTGTCGCGGCTCTACTGGTTTGTTTGCGATTGGATGTCCGGGTCCGACACTAACTCAGACGACCTCTAATGTTGTTTATTTGTTTTGTTTAACCGGATATTGCTGTGATCATTCTACTGTTCATTACGGACCGGCGATGTATTTGTACGAAAATATAATATCTTTAAATTGTTGAAATAAACAGAATAAACAAACTTTAACTCGCTTTAACCATATTTTTATCGCATATACTTATATATGCGTATCCTATACAGTAACATTAACGTAATATTTTACATTTACTATGATGACTATATACAATATACAATATAAGAAATATATAGAAAACATAGTAAGCCCACCGGGGAATTGAGTTGATTGATGCTCGTTATGTCAATCACTGTATTGTTTGGTTCAGACATGATTATTTACAGACCGCCGTCAAATAGCTGGAATATTGCCGAGTATATCGATCCATATACAAGACGGCATCTAGATGTCGTTACCCCGGTTTGACGGTGACTGTGCTTGTCGTAAGAGGCGACTAACGGGATCGGGTGGTTATGCTCGCTGACTTGGTTGCTGCATGTCATCGATCCCAATTGCGTGGTTCGATGCTCATGATATCAACCACTGGATTGTCTGGTCCAGACTCGCTTATTTACAGACCGCCGTCATATAGGTGGAATATTGCTGAGTGCAGCGTTAAACAATAAACAAACAAACGGTCTGACGCTCGGCATAAAGGGATAAACTATAATATTGGCATCAGTACGGACTAGTAAAAGCAGCCAATACAGAGAGAGAGGGAGAGAGACCATGTTCACCTCTGTATGAGGCTGTTATTATATTACCTTCACATCTAATTTCTAAATGCCGCTCAATAATCCTATCAAATGTTCATTTAAATATTTCCTAACATCTCACATGAAGAAGATCATCGTGTTAAAACGAGACCCGACAGAGTAGTTACAACACGTGACCTCGACCAGCTGCACGTGCGCTCTGTACAGATTCTCGCATCCACAGCGTCTCACAACGGATTTGGAAGCGGTATAACTTCCATATAAGCTTTTTATCAAGTGACACGGTGAGTTTATTACTTGAAGACACCACACACACCTATACGTGACCACGTGCAGACTGACACCTTTTTTTTGCCGGCATTTCAACTCAAAACACGAGACATCGTTCTATTTACGGACATTAACAAGTTGGAGTTGCCTCCCTTGGAAGGCAGCGCGTACACTCGGACAAGGCTGCAAGGTGCGGGCATGACATGCATGTGGAAACAGATGATGTTTGTGAATAACAACGAAGTAGCAAGCAGTTTGAATCAGGTATTTAAGTTGATTTTACGCTCTGAAATATAGATATTAAAATGTATTCATCGGTCAGAAGAGCGATCGTTAGTTAGACGCTACTTTCTGCTAGTCGGGTGCTGCACGAACATCACAACAAATGATTTGTGTTGCCCCGGAAAGTAGGTCCAACTTCACGCGGCGACAGATTGTTACAAACAACCCATGCAAATTATTGACTGGCAGGTGTGCAAATTTTTAATGTTTCTGAATTAGGAAATGTCATGTTTTTAGGTTCGACCTTAAGTTTGGAGTATTTTGAAGCTACCCTGACCTATTTATTGCCAAGTCGCTGCGCCACGTGATCACGTGCCATGACCTGAGTACTGTGATTGTCGCAGTCAGACGAGATGTCAGTGTGACATTACTGAGTTTGGCTTTGTTGGTTTCATTGAGTTTTAAGGACAAAAGTGACATTATTTAGACTAGTGATTTTGAATTTTTTTTATGTTGTTTTGAAACATCATTGTAGTTTCTGGGTAAACTATAAAGACAAATTACTCTCATCGACTTTTCAGAAAATATATGTTTAGGTAAGATTTATCCGCTTTATATTAACGTTAAGTTTGACAATTCTTTTTATATTATTTTTGTTGAACATGCATTGAAAGAATTGTATTTATTTGTCAAGTGTGCCACAGTGCAGTCATAAAGATTATGTAGGTATGACCTTTGGAATTATGGCTCCCCTGAAGATTCCGGGGTAGAATAGGTCTCCAGCAACCCGTGCTTGCCGTAAAATGTGACTATGCTTGACGTAAAAGGCGACTAAAGAGATCAGGTGGTCAGGCTCGCTGACTTGGTTGATGCATGTCATTGATCCCAATTGCGTGGATTGATGCTCATGATATCAATCACTGGATTGTCTGGTCCAGACTCGATTATTTACAGATTGCCATCATATAGCTGGAAAATTGCTGAGTGCGGCGTAAAACAACAAACCAACCAACCAATTATGGTGTGCCAACTAAGAAAATAATTTTGATCTTTGTTGATTATCAACATTTGTTGAATGTCACTTCAGACAGCTAGATAGTAAGCAGTTGTGGTTTTGAAAGTTTGCTCCCGTCCTTTCCATTGAGATAGATATAACCTGTATCCTTTTCTGAATACCCAAATTTATTTGGCCAATCATCCAATCAATAAAAGGCCAGACATCGACTGTTCTGAAGCATTGTTGGCAAACAATAACCGATAACCGCCAAGCCTGCTCTACTTTGCTCGCCTTATTCCGTGTGAAAAGCTTCTGCTCCAGTGACCACACAGCATGTGTAGGCTTATCACGTGACCAGACTTTCCTCTTGTTTGTTAACAAATACACATATTCTGAAATAAGAACAATACACACCTTTCAGTGCACTTTACATATTGTTGTCCATGATTATCAGTGTTCGAAATGACACGTGAAGATCCGTGGTAGAATAGGTCTTCAGCAACACATGCTTGCCGTAAAAGGCGACTATGCTTGTTGTAAAAGGCGACTAACGGGATCGGGTGGTCAGGCTCGCTGACTTGGTTGATGCATGTCATCGATCCCAATTGCGTGGATCGATGCTCATGATGTCAATCACTGGTTTGTCTGGTCCAGACTCGATTATTTACAGACCACCGTCATATAGCTGGAATATTGCTGAGTGCAGGGTTAAACAACAAACAGTGTTCGAAATAGACATTGGCCCATAAGCCGGGGCGGACAGATTTGATCCCGGGTTGATAGTTATAAATTTCAGCAGGCCCTTACAGCCTGCAGTTTATTTTAAGCTGTAAGCATGGAAAATGAATCATAACACTGAGACTACTTAGTGAAACAGGGCCCAGCTTCAAAGTACTCCTGGGGGCACGGGTGGCCCAGTTGTCTGAGGCGCCGCGATTCACTGTACAGAGTTGCGTCCCTTGGGCATGCCAGAAACCTATGATTGTGGGTTTGAATACCGGTTTGCCCCGATTGTTTCTAGGTTTTTGAGCACCATACCCGTGCTCGTGGGTTTCACCGAAGTGGTAAACGTCTGAGACCTGCATCACTTCGGGCTTTCCTCCCACATAGGTCTGACACGCCGCGATATAACTGTAATACTGTTAAAAGCAGCATTAAACCCAACTCACTCACTCACTCAAAGTACTCCTGTCGTTAACTTTTTCAACACGGTAGGCCAGTGTACCACCAGCCACGCTGTAGCCACATGAAAATAATATCTAGTTTTATGAACCTAAATGATATATCATTCATTTATTAAATCTATCAATAATGTATTTCATTTCAATTTGTCATATTTTATCAATAGATTTAAATTTATTAAACGTTTTTTGCAATGTTATTGAAAAAAAATCATATGGGACAAGGTTCGACAACGGGTCCAAATCGGACATGTCTAAAAGCAATATAAAGACGTTTCAAGCAAATTGGTTATAAATTAAATAAAGTAATAAATAAGATCAATGATATGTCCATGAAGTTCCATATTTTAAACATAGTTCACAATTTCCTGCTTATAGCGTTCAAAATAATACGATTTAACCAAGGACCTTCATCTAAATCTGAAATACATCATACTCGAGGACGGTATCCATTACTATAATTTGATTGGCTGCCTTTGGTCATGTGCTTGATTTTGATATTAGATTATGACAAAAGTGCCTTTAGAAACCAATTTCTATCAAACAAATTCGCATGTTACAACTACGAAAAAATTCCTGGCAAGGTTTTGGGAATATTGTTGATGCTCGGAGCTTTCTAACGATACCAAACATCGAACAAATCTTTGCACATGTATTTTATTCAAAGCTTTGAAAATGGAGGTATTTCTCAGTATTTTCTCATGTCACAGAGCGGAAAGCCACTATTATCAGGAAATATGTGATGATAGATCATACTTAAAATTCTCTTTATCATCAATTTCCAATTACTTTAACAATGAAAATAAAAAAAATATGAAATCTTAAATTTTCGCCATAATTTTCACTGCCTTAGTGCTTAATCTAGTTGTTATGAATGTGTAAGCTTAATTTTTATTACAAATGCACTTAATTAAGTTATTAAGGCATTATTTAAAAAATGTGATAACTATAACTTTCATATTTGGATACAGTAGGATTAGACCTATAAAATGGTGTATGACATGGAGTTGCCAGGTGTTTTACAAGCAGATAATTTCATTTATAAATGTAGGCTTCCACTATCACCACAGAGTCTCTGGAACCTCGATATGAGAGCAGTAAAAGCTTCTGACGTGTGTGTTGTAATTTATATTGCAAGAGCATGTCACCCAGCTTCAGCTAATCTCATTAAAATCAGATCTTAGATTTCACTACCTCTTAACAAAGATCTGAGGACATCCCACTGCGGGTCATGTCAGAACGACCTTTCATCTGACCAATCAGATCATCGCTTAGCAGATCATGAAAGTGACAGTTGGAATGTGATGTTTTATCGTGCAACCTCGAAAAAATAACACACACAGGGTATTCCGAACGACAGTTATGGACTTTATGTCTGTATTCATAAAATCTTGACCATCTATTAGCCATTCCAGAATGTTCTTTTGTTCAGTATTAAATTTTTTAATAGAGTATATGTCAAAATATTTTTCAAAGCGTAGTTGCCAGTTTGAAACTCATGCCGTAAAGCTCGATTAAGCTGCCTTCTGATTGGCTATTGCCGACTTCTTGTTAGTTATCCCATTGGTCGGTCAAAGTTCGCAAAAGTTCGGTCTGACGTGACCCGTAATGGGATGTCCTCAGATCCTTGTTTAGCGGTAGTGAGAACTAAGATCTGATTTTAATGAGATTGAGCTTCAGCTAAAATGTTTGGGCCTACAGTTTTTACACTGGGCCTACAAGTTTTACACTGGGCCTACACTTTTTACACTGGGCCTAGTTTTTACACTGGGCCTAGTTTTTACACTGGGCCTATTGTTTTTACACTGGGCCTATAGTTTTTACACTGGGCCTATAGTTTTTACACTGGGCCTATAGTTTTTACACTGGGCCTACAGGTTTGAGACTGGGCCTACAGGTTTTACATTGGGCCTACAGTTTTTACACTGGGCCTAGATTTTACACTGGGCCTATAGTTTTTACACTGGGCCTAGTTTTTAGACTGGGCCTAGTTTTAACACCGGGCCTACAGTTTTTACACTGGGCTGACAGGTTTTACACTGGGCTGACAGGTTTTACACTGGGCCTACAGGTTTGAGACTGGGCCTACAGATTTTACATTGGGCCTAGATTTTACACTGGGCCTATAGTTTTTACACTGTGCCTAGTTTTTAGACTGGGCCTAGTTTTAACACGGGGCCTACAGTTTTTACACTGGGCCGACAGGTTTTACACTGGGCTGACAGGTTTTACACTGGGCTGACAGGTTTTACACTGGGCCTACAGTTTTTTCACTGGGCCGACAGGTTTTACATTGGGCTGACAGGTTTTACACTGGGCCGACAGGTTTTGAAATGTGCTGGCCATTCAGCCATCAGTTTACGCTCCTGAGTTTCAGACACTGAACTCAGGGTAGTTGAGTGATTCCATGGCTTCATATGGCCGAGGCATTTATGTTGTAATCTTGGCATTGATAAACACTGGCTTCTTATCCAATAGAGCTTGCAATTAGTATTTTGTCACTCTTCCATATAATAAAAATTACGACTTTCTCTTCAGTTTGCATCTAATAAAAACATGACCAAAGCGAGATATTCTGCACAGTGCTTAGGTTGTTGGCTTCGATGTGCGGAGCTCTATTGTTTTGGTTTTAGAATTAAATCAGGCATGAACTAAAGGTGTGATGTCACACTCGGAAATTATTTAATACATGATTTAAAATCACACAGAACCGTCAATGTCCCGTCTCCTTTAGGACCTTTCCTCTATATTGGTCCTGTCATAAGTGAAATACAAGTTGCCTGAAAATAGCCACAGCATTAGTTATAGATATAACAGTATGCCATGGCAAGTATTTAATTCCAATTAGGGAATTTTTACTGTCATATGCTTGAGACACTCACTTGACGGTTCTGTGTTTTTAAATAATGCATGAAAAAAATTTACAAGTGTGACTTCACATGTCCGATTCAATTCTCAAACCAAAACAATAGAGCTCTGCACAGTGAAGCAGACAACACAAGAGCTGCGCAGAGTGAACTGGCTTCAGCCTTGTTATTTATTGGAGGCAATTGAAGAGAAATCTTGTGTATTTTCCAAAACAAAGTTAGCTTGTCTGTTACCATCACGGTTTCCCCTTGTCTATTTTTAGTTCCAGGATATAACATTTCGCTTTGCTTCAAGGATGAATATATATTTGAAGCGACTTAGTCTCCAAATATTTAAAAAAAAGAGACAATTGTAGCTGTACTTTTTGTGAAAGTCTGAATGATGTGTAAATCTGACTAAGTTACTCCAGAGATGACATCATTGCATTGAACATGATGTTGACAGGATTAAAATCAGGTAAATTTCATACTTTTTTTATTTGTTGAAAGTTGGGACTGACAGAAATTCAGGGGGACTGGTAATTTTTAGAGTTTTAGAGTCCTAATGGACTGGCAGTTTCAAAAGCCATTGGGAACTCTGGAAAATATTCTAAAATGTGAAAAGTTATTTCTATTTGTGTATTTATCCTCCATGTTAAGATCCAAATATCAACCTCTAATTAGGTTTTGATAAATCCCTGCTGTTGGATAAAAACTATCCTTTGGGGTGATTTACTGATAATTATAAAATTTATTTGCCATGTACATGTATATGCATATAATCACGTACGTACTACTTTCAGAGTTTACAAACAAACATGGTATAGTGTATTGTGCTGTAAGATTTAGGGCGTCCGGGTAGCCTAGTGGCTCGTCACGCTCGTCACGCCGAAGACCCGGGTTTGATTCCTGACACATGTACAATGTGTGAAGCCCATTTCTGGTGTCCCCCGCCGTGATATTGCTGGAATATTGCTAAAAGTGGCGAAAAAACCATATTCATTGTAAGATTTAATAATTACTTTAATCACTTTAACTTAATATTTCTTGTCAATAATTTGGTTTAATGAATAATATTATGTGTCCCTCAGGACGCGACATAATTTTATTCTGCATCCATTCTATACATTTGTGTGTACTGGATGCACATTTCTGATTGTGGTAAAACTAAAACACTGATATTATTATCTTTAGTCTTAAACATCCAACCAATGTGATACAATACATTGTTTTACAACCCCCGTATCACGACACATACGACAGAGCTACAGATAAGCAGTGTAAAATACTCCCCCAAAATATTCAAAACCCAATTACTTTCAATTAACTTGCATACATGCAGTAAATGAAAAACTCAAATGTATAAAAACAACGTGCGTTAATACCCAATGAAGCTTTTTCAGCATGTGTACAAAGGAGCTAATTTCTGAAACACAATTACGAGCTAATTTGCTTTCCGAGTCATGCCTGTATATTTAGAACAATTATAGACATCTAAAACATTATTTCATTTTTTTTCAAAATCTTAAAATGTTCACTTATTTTAGGAAAAACCCAATAGAGTGATGAATAGATGAATGAAAAAATATTAGTTACCCAATGAAAAATATAATAACTCAATTAAAATCGAAACCCTAGAGTAAAAACTCAATTGCTCAAAATGGTATCTGGAGCTCGTATACGATACACTACATTACAAGTAATATTGCTGTAATGTAACAACTGTCCAACCAACAGCTTCCAGCCCCAAACCTCTACATCCCAAAAATTCTACAACAATTCTAAAACAAAATATCATGTCCCAGTGCATGTAGTACTGACTGCATATTACCTATTTGTGGAATGGAACACCCCAAAATAAATAACAATAAGAACGTATAAAATATGTGTTAAAATTCTTTTAGACAGCCTTTTGTTACATGTATTGCATGTATGTATAAAAATGCATTTATTCATAGCACATTGAATAGATATTCCACATTTTAAAAAACCCCATTGTTTTGCTCAATAGTCATAGCACAATAAAATGCCACTTTCGAATAGCAAAATCTCATTAAGCCCAGATTCCCGACATGGGTACAATGTGTGAAGCCCATTTCTGGTGTCCCCCGCCGTGATATTGCTTGAATATTGCTAAAAGCGGCGTAAAACCATATTCATTCACTCTCACTCATTAAGCCCAATGAGTGTTTAACCAAGAGGTACATGGCGACCAGCAGCATCCAAGAACTCCATGGGCGTCTTCTGTTCCTTGTCTGACCTGGTTCCAGAGGTGAACAAGGCTGTTGTCACAGGCCTCAAAGTTTAAATTTTTACCATGTAGCCATATGGCTACAAGTATCTTTTTCCAGGTAGCCAGTGGTAAAATCAAGAAGTCAAGCCAATATTGTAGGTAGCCAAAAGCATTTGAAATGATCTTTTATCAACTGACTATTACATGTACAAGTCATAGCACTACTCTTGGAATTGTATATTAGTGGAAACTGTACTTGAGTTTTGTTATTTGTGACTCAAACAATGATGCAATTTATATTTATAGATTATATGGGTATGTCCTTGCTTATCCAATAAACTATCAACTAAAATAAAATGCTAATTACATTAATATTTATGCAGAGCTCCAGATAAGCTGCGTATCTGCGTGAAATACGCATCAGAAATGCAGAAATACACAGTAAAATATAATCAAGCGTATCAAATACGCAACGAACATTACAGATACGCTACAAAAATAAAACTTGTACGTATCATCAAAATATTGTGAAGTAACCCTGCGTATTCGATTAGCAAATCAGCAACTTATTTTTAAATTATAAACGGGCATTCCGTCAACCTTGCTAAACTCCACGATGACAGTTACATCATGATCATTTGCCATCACACTTTCTTTTGGAAGTATCGTGGTATTTTTGAGTCCTATAAAGCTCTCGAACCCACACGACACCAGTTTGCAGGGACTAGAGGAATAGTGTTTTTAAATATTTAACTTAAATACCCACATGTGTAAAAACTAGTGGGTAACAGAAATTTGAATACGCAGATAGAATTACTGATACCCAATGATTTTAAAATGCATGGGTAAAATACCCACAACACCAAAAGCTTATCTGGAGGTCTGTTTATGCATTTCAGTTTATCGTTGACTTTAGGAGGAATTATTTGCGAGTACAATTAGAAGCAGACATGTTTATTTTGTGTCTACATATGTGTAGCAATAGAATTAAGTCGCCACAAGATATTTTTCAAGGTAGTCATTTGGCTACCTCTGAATTTTAGACAGTAGACAAATTGAAATTTAGGTGGCATTGGCAACCGTTTTAGTCGCCATTTTTAGGCCTGCTGTCATCTTCTCTATAAACTTGTTTCCTGCTTGGCTTGATCCTGTGTAGCCTCGCATACGTTGAGTCTGTTTGTGTCTGAGCTGAGATCTGTGTAGGCTATAATATGTGGCACGTCCAGTCCAAATTAACAGTGTCTAGCAGTACCCTGACTGGGCCTGTGAAGGTCCGGGGTGGAATAGGTCTTCAGCAACCCATGCTTGTCGTAAAAGGTGACTGTGCTTGTCGTAAGAGGCAACTAACGTGATTGGGTGGTCAGGCTCGCTGACTTGGTTGATGCATACATGTCATCGATCCCAATTGCGTGGATTGATGCTCATGATATCAATCACTGGATTGTCTGGTGCAGACTCGATTATTTATAGACCGCCGTGTATATAGCTGGAATATTGCTGAGTGCAGGGTTAAACAACAAACAGTGTTCGAAATAGACATGGGCCCATAAGCCGGGGCGAACAACAAACCAACCAACCAGCATGCCAGTAAATACTCAAGGGCTCCCTAAGCTTTCTGGGGGCCTGTTATTCCTTCCCATCAACAAGTCTTAGCCAAAACATCCACACACAGCAAGTAGAAAAAGTTTGGCACTAGAATACAACCATGAAAGAATGATTGACTGATTGATTTCTCTCTGCAGGGTCCTCTCCACAAGCTGTGACATCTTTACCCTGCACACCGGCAACAGGTACTTGGATGGTGCGTCAACATTCACGGCCAGGGTTGAGACCAACAGTTGAATTCCAAGTTAGTAGCTATTGGTATTTTATCATCCCAAACTGGCATCCACAGGAAATATGAACCACATATCGCTTGGTTGAAAATGCATCACGATGATTTGGAGACCATTGTGAGGTCATCAGTTGCCATGACAACACAATCAAATGACGTCACTAATCTCTCCGCTGCAGATTTATAATTGTGAGGATGAGGGGCAGGCAGGGTTCCGGTAGAACGACGCGCAGAGAAGGACATGTCAGTCCGTCCAGGCGTGAACGGAATGTGGTACTTCCTGCTCGTCGCGAAAGTGTCAGAATCAAGAAAAAAATGTCCAGTAATTCATCTGAACCGAAAAAGGTTGACAAATTTATGGCTAAAAGTGTCAACCCAAAGTCAGCAAAGAAAAGGTTGACTGCTTCAACTTCTGGCATCAGGGGAGGTTCAGATGATGGACAAGAAGATGATCGTACTTTACATGCGAAACAAGATTCTGCCTCCGAGACGGGAAGTAGGGTTGTATGCCCTGACAAAGAAAAGACCAAGACAGAAAGTATTGATAAAACCCCTGATAAAGAGACCACGGTAAAGACAGAAAGTACTGATAAAACCCCTGACAAAGAGACCACGGTAAAGACAGAAAGTATTGATAAAACCCCTGATAAAGAGACCACGGTAAAGACAGAAAGTATGGATGAATCTCCTGATATTAAAGAGACCAACACAGGAATTATGGATAAATCGTCTGACAAAGAGACCACAATAAAGACAGAGAGTATGGATGAATCTCCTGATAAAGAAGAGACCAACACAGGAATTATGGATAAATCGTCTGACAAAGAGACCACGATAAAGACAGAAAGTATGGATGAAACTCCTGATATGAAAGAGACCAACACAGGAATTATTGATAAATCGTGTGATAATGAAGATACCAAGACCAAAACGGATAGTATGGATGAATACCCTTACAAAGAAGAGGCCAAGACAATGACAAGAACTATGGATGAATCTTCTGATAAAGAAGAGACCAACACAGGAATTATGGATGAAACCTTTGATGATGAAGATACCAAGACCAAAACGGAAAGTTTGGACAAATCCCCTAAAAATGAAGTGACCAAGACAGGCAGTAGAGTTGAATCCTCTGATAAACAGGAGGTGACAATGATGGCAGATGTGATGAAAGAGTCAGCTACTCCCCGGATGAACCCCCTGGACAAATGCGTGCATGGGAACCTGGTTTATCGGTGCGGCATTTGCTTCCGACTCATTGATGGACTGGATATGAAGGTTTCGAGTCTGAGACGGGGCTGGCACATGTGTACCATGTGTCACATGGGCTTCCGCGATCCAGTCATGCATCGGAGCCACTTTGTGAACTTCCACAAGATAGTTGCCCCGCCCTCGTACCAATGTCCGACCTGCGGTGCTCGTGTTGAGGATAACAGGATCAAGGAACACATGAAACTACATGAGGACAGAAGTGTTTCTCCCGGTCATCCGCATGTCCCTGGAATACGTCACAAATACTCTAGTAAAAATTCAGCAATGTCGTCTACTTCTGTTGAGTTGTCAAAACTCAGGAACCAGATGCACACAGGAACTGCAACAATATCAGCAAGAGAAAAGTCGACTGGAGTGACTTCGGATTGCATCAAGGAACATTTGGCACAGGGAGAGGAGGATGGTTCAAGTTCACAGGACCCCTGCCAGGATGCTTCCTCGGAATGTAAGGAAGTGATGCCTGGAGCCATACTGTGCCACATATGTGGAGATAACATTGAAAATATAGGTTTTGAGGAGCACACTAGAATGCACGATAAAGAGACCACACAAGTTCAAATTACGCAACTTTGCCACTTATGCGGAACTGATGTTGCTCGTGATGCTCTGGAGAAGCATATGGACCTTCACAAGAATCCTCCTCCAACGAAAAGCGATGATATTTCTCGTAAACCCACACATAAAAGAAAATGTGATGATGACGAGGTACCTGTTACAATTCCAAAAGTCATTCCACGCAATGCGCTTGAGAGGGAGCACCATGAGTTGCCGAAATATGTCCCGAAGCCTGTGCCGGACAACGTGGCTGGAGAGGGCTGCTGCTACAACAAGAAGGACCCGGCTGAGAATGCAGACCACAGGCTCTTCAATAAAATGTGTGCTTGGCACATGTGCGATGTGTGCAACATGGGTTTTCGTGGACACTGGTGGTACAAGGAGCACCTGCTGAAAGTCCACAACATTTCGAAGCCAAGCACAAGTTTCTGTCCAACGTGTGGGAGGAATGTTGGAAGTGAGGACATGGAGATGCATGTGAAAGCTCACGAACGGGATGAGACCTATGTTGAGAATGATTCCGGTTTAGTGGATGATAAGAGGTTCCCTTGTTCGAACTGCTCCGAATCCTTCTCCACGTTTTCTGTGTTCAGGAATCACATTAAGGAACATAACCAGGTTGTGTTGGTGAAACAGGTGGACCTGGACTTCCACCTGTGTAGCGTGTGTGGCTCCCATGTGTTGGGGGAGGACAGTCTCGCTGCTCATGCTAGTTTCCACCAAGCTGTTGAATCGCCCAATGATTGCTGTACATCCTTGTTCCGCTGTAAGATCTGTAGCATCACGTTTGACAGCAATGGACGGTTCATACAACACATGGAAACGTGGCATCTGAAGCAATTTAATTTCAACATAACCAACAAACTGCATTTTGACAAATATGCTGTCACAGTTTACAAGTGTGTATGCTCTTCTATATTCCTTGACTTTCTGGATTACAAGAGGCATGTTAAGAAGAAACACCCTGATGTTCTGGAAGAACGGACCCCGATGGAGCACACGGACATCAAGGTAGAAGGTATGATACTTGGTGAGGCTTTGGGGCAGAAAAGCAAGCTAATGCATACCACCACACAGACCAACCACCCTGATATTGATTTGAGAACACCTGCAAATAAGGTATTTATCCTGAATAAGCAAACAACAGAAATGACTCAAACATGTAGAAACAGACGTTCAGTACCTGGGCGGATCAGCTCAGATGGTGAAGTCCGTTCAAAAGAGAGCCACCCTGAACATCAAGATAAGGGGGCAAGTATAGGTCCATGCCACTCACAACATGAACTTGAGGGGGTCTGTTCTAGTGAGAGCCGCTCTAACTATGAACAAGGGAGGGTTGGTTCAATTGAGAGCCAATCTGAAGATGGAGACAGGGCCAGCTATCTGGTGCTGGTGCAGTTGCCTGAGGCTGGTGACAGTTTTGGAGAAAAGATTCAGGAAGAAAGTAAGAGAGATTGCAAGTCTGTGGGGGATGATGATGATGGAATGAATGACAACAAGGAGTCCACCTCATCTTCTCCTGTAGAGATGAACTGTACAATGCATGGCATGACGCAAATGTGTTTAAAGTCAGAAACCAATGCTGCTGGAAAAGATAATGCCATGAATCTCGTCCTCAGCATACCCAATAGGTCTGAGTTCTGCTCTGCTACGGAGGCAAGCAATATACAATACGTAGTGGGGCGTGATTCTTCCTTCAGAGTTGTTAGGAAACAATCTGGAAGATCAGAGAGTAATCATGGTATTTATAAACAAATTATGAACCATGGCACCAAAGGACATGACCCTGAAGTCAAGGTTGGCAAGGAACAGGTTGGGAATAGACATTCCACTCCTGACAGTAGCATTGTTGGAGTCGAGCCTAAAGAGCGTGGTGGTATGCAGGATATTGTGATCTCAACGAGTGGAGTGAATGTGTCCGGGGCAACAAGTAGCATCGATCCTTCCGGCATGAAGGTCACGCGATGTGACAAGGAGGGAGCCATGATTAAGATATCTGTCAAGGGACTTGAAGGTTACTGCTTTTGCACACAGTGTGGAAGAATATTTGGAAATGAAAAGGATTTTGTCAGTCACTGTAAGGCTACAATGACCCATAAAATAAAAACAGTGTATCGCAAGAATGTTAGCAAGCAGAATCAGTTTCACCATAACCGTGATGTCTCCTTGAATCTCTGCTCCTGTGGAAAGCTATTGGTTGGGCAGGTGGAACTGAACAGACATCTGCAGACATACAACGGACCGGTAGTAGTAGCGAGTTCTTACAGTTCAAGGCACTTGATGTGTGACTGTGGCACTCAGACCGGAGATGATGCCAGGTCATTTCCAGGTCACATCCCTTCAGACAGGCATCTGCCCTGGAGGAATATCAGACAGTTTGACAAGGGTGTCATGGTTGACCAACGGGACATAAAGGTCACTGTAGCTCTCAATTTGGATCCAAAGACTAGGGAGAAGGACCAGGCACTATGCACACAATTTGATGTAAATATGGCCAACAATGTACAATATGTGGTAGAGCAAGATTCTTCCTTCAGAGTTGCTCAAAAACAATCTAGAAAATCGGAGGGTAAACATGGTCAAAATGAACAATTATTCAACCATGGAATAAAAGGAAACGTATGTGACCTTGACATGGAGGACGCTTACTTTAGAGCAATGATCGACAAGGAGCTGGTTGGTGATAGACATTCCACTCCAGACAGTAGCATTGTTGGAGTCGCGCCTGTAGAGCGTGGTGGTGGGCAGGATGTTGTGATGTCCACGAGTGGAATGAGCGTGTCCGGGGCAGCAAGTAGCATCGATCCTTCCAGCATGAAGGTCACACGATGTGACAAGGAAGGAGCCATGATTAAGATATCTGTGCAGGGACTTGAAGGCCACTGCTCCTGCACACTATGTGGAAGAATATTTGGAAATGAAAACGATTTTATCAGCCACTGTAAGGTTACAATGACCCATAAGATATTAAAAACAGTGCACCGCAAAAATCTGTCCAAAGAAAATCTGTTTCACCGTTATTTATCAGAAGTGGACAAAGTTGGACAAGGCAATGTTAACATGGGGAAAAAACAGTCAGGTGAGGACAGGCGTGAGAGCATCTGTAGCAGTAACACTGATGTACTGAAGAGTATAGGTGGCGCTGATGTCTCCCTGAATCTCTGCTCATGTGGGAAGCTATTGGTTGGGCAGGAGGACCTGGACAGACATCTGCAGACATACAAGGGACCGGATGTCGTAGCGAGTTCACACAGTTCAAGGCACTTGATGTGTGACTGTGGAACACAGTCTGGAGATGATGCCAGGTCATGTCAAGGTCACATACCTTCAGACAGGCTTCGGGACTGGAGGAATATCAGACAGATTGACAAGTGTGTTATGGCCGACGAACAGGACATCGATGTTTCTTTAGCTCTCAATTTTGATCAATTGACCGTGATGAAGGAATGGGCTCTATGTAAGACTTTTGATGAAAATATGGCCGACAATGTACAATATGTTGTGGAACTTGATTCTTCCTTCAGAATTGTTCGAAAACAATCGGGAAAATTGGAGGCTAAGTATGGTAGTTATGAACAACTCATAACCTGTGGCACAAAGGAAGGCAGATGTGACCTTGACATGCAAGATGCTATTTGTAGAGCAATGATTGACAAGGAGCTGGTTGGTGATAGACATTCCACTCCAGACAGTAGCGATGTTGGAGTCGCGCCTGTAGATCGTGTCGGTGGGCAGGATATTGTGATGTCCATGAGTGGAGTGAATATGTCCGGGGCAACAAGTAGCATCGATCCTTCCATGATGAAGGTCACACGCTGTGACAAGGAGGAAGCCATGATCAAGATAGCTGTGCAGGGACTAGAAGGCTACTGTTCCTGCATACAGTGTGGAAGAATATTTAGAAATGAAAATGATTTTGTCAGTCACTGTAAGGTTACGATGGTCCACACAATATTAAAATCAGTGTATCGCAAGAATCTTTCCAAGGAAAGTCTGTTTAACCAATACTTATCTGAAGAGGATGACATCGGACAGAGAAATATTAACATGGAGAACATAGAGTCAGGTGAAATCAAGGAGGGTACCTGCAGCAGTGATTCTGAAATGGTGGATGGCACAGGTGGATCTGATGTCTGCCTGAATCTCTGCTCCTGTGGGAAGTTGTTGGTTGGGCAGGAGGACCTGGACAGACATCTGAGGACATATCGCGGACCGGATGTAGTTGGGAGTTCACACAAGTTGAGGTGCTTGATGTGTGACTGTGGCACTCAGACCGGTGATGATGCCAGGGCTTGTCAAAATCACATGTCATCAAGCAGGTGTCAGGATTGGAGGAATATCAGACAGTTTGATAAGGGTGTTATGGTTGGCGAACAGGACATTAATGTCACTTCGCCTCCTGTCGTTAATGCAAATATAGACATTTTTGTTTCTGTGGTTGGAAATGGTGAAAGTGACCCTAAAAAAATCATGATTTATAAGACAAACAGCACTGGAGAAAATGGACCAACTGTTTCAAATTGCACTAAAGAAAAAGGTCTCAGTGTTTCAAACAGCAGTGGGGAAAAAAGAAGTGTTTCAAACAGCAGTGGGAAAAAAAGAAGGGTTTCAAACAGCAGTGAGGAAAATGGACCTGGTGTTTCAAACAGCAGTGGGGAAAATGGACCTGGTGTTTCTAACAGCAGCAGGGAAAATAGACCTGGTGTTTCAAACAGTAGTGGGGAAAATAGACCTGGTGTTTCAAACAGCAGTGGGGAAAATGGACCTGGTGTTTCTAACAGCAGTGGGAAAAATGAACTAACTGTTACAAACAGCAGTGGGGAAAATGGACCTGGTGTTACAAATAGCAGTGGGGAAAATGGACCTGGTGTTTCTAACAGCAGCGGGGAAAATAGACCTGGTGTTTCAAACAGTAGTGGGGAAAATAGACCTGGTGTTTCAAACAGCAGTGGGGAAAATGGACCTGGTGTTTCTAACAGCAGTGGGAAAAATGAACTAACTGTTACAAACAGCAGTGGGGAAAATGGACCTGGTGTTACAAATAGCAGTGGGGAAAATGGACCTGGTGTTTCAAACAGCAGTGGGGAAAATGGTATCCTGTGTGACAGTAGTAGAGGTGGTGAGTTGATGCCTGAAGAAGTGAAGCAGGAAGGCTCAGCCAGTGTTATAAGTGGTGTAAGTTTAAGTCAATCTCTCCTGACCACGGATGACAAGACACAGCAGAAGTGTTGGAGTGCTGGAACCAGCACGACATCCTCCTCCACCACAGCAGGCATGGTGGAGGTCCACGTGTGTTCCCTGTGCCGCAGTGTCTTCCTGCAGAAGGAGGATATGCTTCAACACCTCAGCCAACACAAGTCCTACATCTGTCAGTGCTCGGTCCTCTTCCTGGACTTCGCGTCCTACATGTGCCACGCCCAGGCCAAACACAAGATGGCTGTTTCGGACAAAAGCCCTGTGTTGGTCAACCTTCTCGGACACATGCCTCAGATCTCTCCCACAACAAAGGAGGAGGATAAAATGATTGTTGATAATTTTATAAGCAAGAACTTCATGTCAACTCAGTCCCGCTCTGAGGAAACGCTTGTTCAGGGTGTGGAAGCCAAGGGTTATTTCACATGTGAATGTTACGAGATATTTGCATCAGAATCTGCGTACCATCAGCACTTGAAGCAAGTTGTTTCGAAAGGGAAACATGGCAGGCAGAAGGTGGAAAAGTGGCACCATTGTTCCATTTGTCCGATGGCTTTTGCCACCAAGTTTGATTTGGGACTACATCAGAAAACAGAACATAGGAAAAAAATGCCGATGCAGATAAGTTCTCAGTCCAATGATGCGAAGATGAAGGTTGAGAAAACGTCAGCCAAGGCCAGGTGTGGGGACTGTGGGATCAACTTCGACAGCGTGGCGGGACTGCAGGTGCACAAGCTGCTGTATCAGGGGACGTTCAAATGTACACATCGCCAAGACCAAGTCCGCGCGGAAATGTTGAGGGTAAGATGAGTGTTGTCGGCCATGTTTTGGATGTTAGCATGGAAGTTTGCTGTCATGAATAAGGTGGGTGGGTGGTTTTGGTGGTTTTGCTAATTAATGAAGGTGATTTTGTAACTGGGAGTTCTCTGTCAACCGCTAGACTTAGTTTCATGAATCAGGTTGGTGGTTTTGCTTATTGTTTTTGCATCTACCGTATTTGCCGTAATAAGCGCCCCGCTCTAATAAGTCTATATATGTCGTGTATTACGCATAGACTTTTCTTTTGTATTATTTCAGACTGTCAGCATAAACCACAAAATTTACGATCTTTCCACCAAAATGTTATTCCAATAAGAGCCCCCTATTTGTAATTTTGAGAGCTCCCTGGGTGTTTAGTATGTCGAATACGGTGTTTGAAAAGGATTTTGTAACTGGGAGTTCTCTGTCAACCGCTAGACTTAGTTTCATGAATAAGGTGGTTTTGGTGGTTTTGGCATCAATTTGAAAAGGATTTTGTAACTGGGAGTTTTTCAATTTGTCGGGGGTGCTTATTACGGCATTATGTTTTCACTGTGTTAATTTAGGTTAGCTTGTAAAATCTGGATTATTTTAATTTTGACTGAACCTTTGATGGAGTCCAATCTGAAAATTTAATAGTTTTGCCGTTTTTGAGTCTTCGGCAGATGTGTTTCAATGAAAATAATTGTACAGGAATGTATTTTAGAAACGGTTGGCAGATTGATGGCATTATCACCCTTGTCTACCTGCGTGGGTGGCCCAGAGGTCTAAGGCACCTCATTTGGCTGTGAAGAGTTGGGTCCAGATATATATGGAAAGCTCTTGGAAATTTGCCTTGAATAGTACGAATCAAATAAATCAAAACCACCAAAATATTGACTTTATGCGTTTGAAAAAATCTAAATTTTTGGTGATTTTTAACTACCACTATCCCCTTATGCTTCAAGACCAGATATCTAGGGCCTGTAGTTTAAAATTTGTAGGGGTCCTCAAATGACCCGAATTGGCACGTAGATTTACCCTTGGGCCCATAGTTTCAAATTTGTATGGGTCCTCAAATGACCCGAATTGGCACGTAGATTTCGCCTTGGTCCCGTAGTTTAAAATTTGTATGGGTCCTCAAATGACCCGAATTGGCACGTAGAATCGCCTCGGGCCTGTAGTTTCAAATTTGTATGGGTCCTTGAATGACCCGAATGGCAGATAGAATCGTCTCGGGCCTGTAGTTTCAAATTTGTATGGGTCCATGAATGACCCGAATGGCAGGTAGATTTCGTCTCGGGCCCGTAGTTTCAAATTTGTATGGGTCCATGAATGACCCGAATGGCAGGTAGAATCGTCTCGGGCCTGTAGTTTCAAATTTGTAGGGGTCCTTGAATGACCCAAATGGCAGGTAGAATCGTCTCGGGCCTGTAGTTTCAAATTTGTATGGGTCCATGAATGACCCGAATGGCAGGTAGATTTCGTCTCGGGCCCGTAGTTTCAAATTTGTATGGGTCCATGAATGACCCGAATGGCAGGTAGAATCGTCTCGGGCCTGTAGTTTCAAATTTGTAGGGGTCCTTGAATGACCCGAATGGCAGGTAGATTTCGTCTCAGGCCCGTAGTTTCAAATTTGTATGGGTCCATGAATGACCCGAATGGCAGTTTGATTTCGTCTCGGGCCCGTAGTTTCAAATTTGTATGGGTCCATGAATGACCCGAATGGCAGGTAGAATCGTCTCGGGCCTGTAGTTTCAAATTTGTATGGGTCCTTGAATGACCCGAATGGCAGGTAGAATCGTCTCGGGCCCGTAGTTTCAAATTTGTATGGGTCCATGAATGACCCGAATGGCAGGTAGATTTCGTCTCGGGCCCGTAGTTTCAAATTTGTATGGGTCCATGAATGACCCGAATGGCAGGTAGAATCGTCTCGGGCCCGTAGTTTCAAATTTGTATGGGTCCTTGAATGACCCGAATGGCAGGTAGAATCGTCTCGGGCCTGTAGTTTCAAATTTGTATGGGTCCATGAATGACCCGAATGGCAGGTAGATTTCGTCTCGGGCCCGTAGTTTCAAATTTGTATGGGTCCATGAATGACCCGAATGGCAGGTAGATTTCGTCTCGGGCCCGTAGTTTCAAATTTGTATGGGTCCATGAATGACCCGAATGGCAGATAGATTTCGTCTCGGGCCCGTAGTTTCAAATTTGTATGGGTCCATGAATGACCCGAATGGCAGGTAGATTTCGTCTCGGGCCCGTAGTTTCAAATTTGTATGGGTCCATGAATGACCCGAATGGCAGGTAGATTTCGTCTCGGGCCCGTAGTTTCAAATTTGTATGGGTCCATGAATGACCCGAATGGCAGGTAGATTTCGTCTCGGGCCCGTAGTTTCAAATTTGTAGGGGTCAATGAATGACCCGAATGGCAGGTAGAATCGTCTCGGGCCCGTAGTTTCAAATTTGTATGGGTCCATGAATGACCCGAATGGCAGGTAGAATCGTCTCGGGCCTGAGTGGGTGTTCATATGAGAAACATGGACATGTTTTTCATGGCTACTTTCTGGAGCACATGCAAATTCATTATTGATGTTATTTGTTGATGTTTTAATAGACATATATGTTGTGATGTTTGTTTCATTTGCAAACTGAAATATTGTAGACAAAAGTCAACAGTTATTTGCTTTTGACTTCTCTCGTTTTCTGAAAGTTTCTTTGTTGTATCATCCCTGGTTATATAGTCTTCATTACCATGGTTACCTTAGCTACCTTGACAACATAGGGACAACATTCTGAATAAACTCTTGATATTTCATGTGGATTTTGTCATCATTTTGAATCGGCAACACAATACAAATTTTCATACTTTTGTAGTGATTAGCTGATGTAACCATGCTCTTGTTTCAAGTGCTATAGTGGAGTGATTGTGTCAAGAAAGATGCAGTTATTTTGACCAAGATTAAATACATTTTTGAAGATGGTAAACTTTTTTGAAAATGGTAAACTTAAGGATCTTTTCAGTGTTAAGAATCATGTGAACAGTCTCGCTGACTCGTCTTCAGTATTTCAGTTTGAATAAACTACGTGACAGCGATACATCTTCCTGTTAATGACGATAGTCAACTTTGTATTCAGGGAAAGCTTTTGGACCGAGGAATCGCCTTCAGCACTAGAGTGGACAAGGCTGGTGCATGGGTAGGTAAACAGGCATTTACCTTGCGCTGTCTGTGTTCAAGTCTCGCAGCCTCAGTTATCATTTGGGGGCTTGAACATGGATGCTCGAGGCTGTAATAGGTGTCATCTTCCAGAGCTCCAGGGGCGGTCGGGTAGCCTAGTGGTTAAAGCGTTCGCTCGTCACGCAGAAGACCCGGGTTCCATTCCCGACATGGGTACAATGTGTGAAGACCATTTCTGATGTCCCCCGCCGTGATATTGCTGGAATATTGCTAAAAGCGGCGTAAAACCATACTCACTCACTCACTCCAGAGCTCCAGATAACATTTTGAGCCATTGAGATTTTACTCCAGGGTTTCTATTTTAATTGGGTCATTACATTTTTCATTGGGTAACCAATATTTTTTCACTCATCTTTTCATCAACATGATCAATCTATTGGGTATTTCCCAAAATTAGTGAACATTTTAAGATTTAAAAAAAATATGAAATAATGTTTTAGATGTAAATATTAGATGTTCTAAATAAATAGGCTTGATCCGGAAAGTAAATTAGCTCGTAATTGTGTTTTGGAAAACAGCTCCTTTGTACGCATGCTGAAAAAGCTTCATTGGGAATTTACGAGTGCTGTTTTTATACATTTGAGTTTTTCCTTTAATGCATGTGTTTCTTCACGCAAGTTAATTGAAAGTAATTGGGTTTTGACTATTTTTGGGGGTTATTTTACGCAAATACGCTGCTTATCTGTAGCTCTGATCTTTGCTTGTTTTGAGAGGGGTGGTGGAATAGCCCAGTGGTTAATGCATTAGCTCATGACACTAAAGGCTGGGTTCCCATGTGGGTACAATGTGTGAAGCCAATTTTGTGTGTTCCCCGCAGTGATATGGCTAGAATATTGCTAAAAGTGGCTCAAAACACTCTCATCCAGGGACCTAAAAAAGTTGCAATTTTGACTAATGTGATTTGATGTGATTAACATGTTATCTGACAAGAAAATACGAAGATCCTGTTTGTATTTTACTGATCCCTTGTGTCAAGAGTTGAAGATGCATACAAATTGTTTGTTTGTTTGTTTGTTTGTTGTTTAATGCGGCACCCAGCGTATCGTATTGACCGTTACTAAGCATCCCCTGTTGTCTAGTGGGACGGTAGGATGGCCTAGTGGTTAAAGCGTTCGTTTGTCATGCTGTAGTCCAGGGTTTGATTCCCGACATGGGTACATTGTTTGAAGCCCATTGCTGGAATATTGCTAAAAGAGGCATTAAACAATACTCATAGACTCACCTCTTTTTTCCAAATGTTTCAAGGAGGTGATATCATTAGATGTGTCCAGAAACTTTCAGCCTGTTACAGATGGAATTAAAATGTCAGATCAGCCGATAGCACTCTAGTGCCTGAGTCTTTTTTCACTAGTCCTCAGAATCTGTTGCTAGTCCTGCTTGAATAACACAAAAATGTTTGCTTTGTTTACATTTTCTGTCAGTTTTATTCTGTTCCATAAACGGTCAATGGACATATTGCAAAAATGAAACATTGAGAACCGGTTCAGAATTACAGCCCTCGTTAGTTGTGAATACCATTAATTGTCTCGAGCTTGCAGACTGGTGGGAATTTCGAAGATTGTGTTTATGGTATAAACAGTCTGTAGTATTTAATAGTTGTAACCAAATGAGCTTTGAGTACTTTTGTTTTGGCAAGTTAATGTACTCAGCATTTAGTCATGTATTGTCTCCAATAAGAGTTCTCACATGTACATTTTTTGTCATGGAATTTTGCGAGTAGTTCTATTTTGGATTTATCAACCACTATATTGTAATTATTATAAAAACTTTGTTAGAATGGTGAAAAACTTTTAAGTATTTGAAAAGAAATGACCTGGCAGTTGTTCAGGTCATATCCTCTCACTTATTCAGGTAATATCTCTCGGTTATTCAGGTCATATATCTCGGTTATTCAGGTCATATATCTCAGTTATTCAGGTAATATCCTCTCAGTTATTCAGGTCATATCCTCTCACTTATTCAGGTCATATCTCTCGGTCATTCAGGTCATATATCTCAGTTATTCAGGTAATATCCTCTCAGTTATTCAGGTCATATCCTCTCACTTATTCAGGTCATATCTCTCGGTCATTCAGGTCATATATCTCGGTTATTCAGGTCATATATCTCAGTTATTCAGGTAATATCTCTCGGTTATTAAGGGTCATATCATCTCAGTTATTAAGGTCATATCCTCTCGGTTATTCAGGTCATATCTTCTCAGTTATTCAGGTCATATCCTCTCGGTTATTCAGGTCATATCCTCTCAGTTATTCAGGTCATATCTCTCAGTTATTCAGGTCATATCCTCTCAGTTATTCAGGTCATATCCTCTCAGTTATTCAGGTCATATCTCTCCGTTATTCAGGTCATATCCTCTAAGTTATTCAGGTCATATCCTCTCAGTTATTCAGGTCAAAGTCTCTCAGTTATTCCGGTCATAGCCTCTCAGTTATTCAGGTCATATCCTCTCAGTTATTCAGGTCAAAGTCTCTCAGTTATTCAGGTCATATCTCTCGGTTATTCAGGTCATATCTCTCGGTTATTTAGGTCATATCTTCTCAGTTATTCAGGTCATATCCTCTCAGTTATTCAGGTCATATCCTCTCAGTTATTCAGGTCATATCTCCTCAGTTGTTCAGGTCATATATCTCGGTTATTCACGTCATATCTCTTGGTTATTCAGGTCATATCCTCTCAGTTATTCAGGTCATATCTCTCGGTTATTTAAGTCACATCTTCTCAGTTATTCAGGTCATATCCTCTCAGTTATTCCGGTCATATCTCTCGGTTATTGAGGTCATATCTCGGTTATTCAGGTCATATCCTCTCAGTTATTCAGGTCATATCCTCTCGGTTATTCAGGTCATATCTCTCGATTATTCAGGTCATATCCTCTCGGTTATTCAGGTCATATCCTCTCGGTTATTCAGGTCATATCTCTCGGTTATTCAGGTCATATCTTCTCAGTTATTCAGGTCATATCCTCTCAGTTATTCAGGTCATATCATCTCAGTTATTCAGGTCATATCTTCTCAGTTATTCAGGTCATATCTCTCAGTTATTCAGGCCATAGACTCTCAGTTATTCAGGTCATATCTCTCGGTTATTCAGGTAATATCTCTCGGTTATTCAGGTCATATCTCTCGGTCATTCAGGTCGTATCTCTCGGTTATTCAGGTCATATCTTCTCAGTTATTCAGGTCATATCCTCTCAGTTATTCAGGTCATAGCTCTGTTATTCAGGTCATAGCCTCTCAGTTATTCAGGTCATATCCTCAGTTATTCAGGTCATAGCCTCTCAGTTATTCAGGTCAAAGTCTCTCAGTTATTCAGGTCATATCACTCATTTATTCAGGTCATAGCCTCAGTTATTCAGGTCATAGCCTCTCAGTTATTCAGGTCATATCACTCAGTTATTCAGGTCATATCTAATCAGTTATTCAGGTCATATCCTCTCAGTTATTCAGGTCATAGCCTCTCAGTTATTCGGGTCAAAGCCTCTCAGTTATTCAGGTCATATCTCAGTTATTCAGGTCATAGTCTCTCAGTTATTCAGGTCATAACCTCTCAGTTATTCGGGTCAAAGCCTCTCAGTTATTCAGGTCATATCTCAGTTATTCAGGTCATAGTCTCTCAGTTATTCGGGTCAAAGCCTCTCAGTTATTCAGGTCATATCTCTCAGTTATTCAGGACAAAGCCTTTCAGTTATTCAGGTCATATCCACTCAGTTATTCAGGTCATATCCACTCAGTTATTCAGGTCATATTGCCTGAGGACTGACAGTTTTTCCTCTAATGGATTTGGATTGTATGTTTCAGGTAAGCAAGGACCGCGCTATGTTGGCGTCTAAGAGCGACAGTCAAGCTGTTGGAATGGTAAGAATGGGGATGGTGGGTCAGTGGAAGGAGTGTTTGCTTTAAGTCTGGGTTTAGTCTAGACTTGAATCTCAGCTGGATTCTGTCAACATGCTGTGCTTCAGTTGGATGAACATTTGAAACAGAAGAGACCTGCCATGGCCCGCATGAGTGAGTGAGTGAGTGAGTATGGTTTTACGCCGCTTTTAGCAATATTCCAGCAATATCACGGCGGGGGACACCAGAAATGGGCTTTAACCACCAGGCTACCCGACCGCCCCCGCCTGCATGAAGCCCTGCCTTGCTATATCAATCTCATCAAAATCAGATCAGTTCTCGCTGCCGCTAAACAAAGATCTGAGGACATCCCATTACGCTTTCTTGAGCTTTACGGCACTCGTTTCAATCTGGTGACTTTCATTTCAGACTACGCTTGAAAAATATGTTGATACAGTTCTCAATTAAAATTTTGAAATTTTTATTTCGAATATATGGTTGCGATTCTCTAGTGTCAGGATGATTCTCCCTTGTGAATTTGAACCCCTGCCAGTGTGTTTAATCCTATCCTATACTATACTGTAGAGTAAAACTCTCCTTGGGATAATATTTAGGTAGGATATAATCCTTGATTACACCGGTTTCAAGGGGTGTAATAATCCAGGTCTTATGATTTCTGATTTAATGTGATGGACAATTTTTTCAGCATGAAACGCTTTTGTTTTTTTCCAGAATGGACATTTCAAATTTGTATCCTTTTGTTTTGCAGGATATTCCCAATACGGAGGGTGAGGTGAGGACCGATTCAGGTGGACACAAAGCAGTGTCTGCTCCAGTCGAAAGTAATCGGAATCCTGGTTCAGCATCTGAAGTCAATATCACGACAAAAGTTGACACATGTGGGAAAACATCAGAGATCTATGTGATAGGCAGTGACGGTAACACCGTCATCAAGACAGAACCTGGGGCAGGAAACAGAGTCGTAGACAGTGATTCCTTCATCATTACAAGGAATGATGATGATGACGATGACGATGATGATGACATTGATGGCGATGATGATGTCGGTGACGATGGTGATTATGATGATGATGGAGGTGACGATGATGGTGACGATGATGGTGACGATGATGGTGACGATGATGGTGAAGGGGACCAGGAGGATGTCGGTGACCACGGACATGAAACCACGACGTCAGATCCAGGTAGTAATTGTGGTGTGAACCCATCTGAGATCATCGCGCCTGGTTTTGGCTTCGTGGGAAGTGACTCAACCGAATGGACAATGATGGTTCCCATGGTTACCATTAAGAAAGAACCAGAGGAAGGTATGGAGAGCCTGCAGTGCAGTCATCCCGCGTTAGGCGGTGTGGACACCGAGGACGATGCCGTCATGACGGACGTGAAAGTTGAGCCTGGGGAGGAAACAGAGGCAGAAAACGACCAGACTGGGAGTTGTGCTGATGTGGGTGGAGAAGCTACCGCGATGCTGGCAAAGGGTGGTGGGGACAGTGAAGATGAGGAGTTGGACAATGTACAGGTGAAGGAAGAACCTGTCAGTGATGAGGACTTGTCTCAGGCAGACGTTGGCAATATGGTGTACATCCACAAATCATCTCGGGATATATTTGATGAACATGACAAACAGCAACTGGAGGAAGGACATCCTGAGACCAAGGAGCAGCTTGTGATAAGTCCTGATTCTGTTAAAGAAAAGAGACCTCGTGGTGAAATACAACCACCAGGACAACAGCAAACTGTGACAAAGCAGAAATCAGTCAAACAGCAACTTGTGGAAAAACTGCAAATAATAAAACAGCAGAAAGAATTGGCAAAACTGCAACCAGTAAAACCACCGGCTGTGTCAAAACTGCGAACAGTAAAACAACAACTGTTAGCAAAACGGCAGTTAGCAAAACAACAGCGACTTGCAGGTAAGCACCAGCCAGTAAAAGAAGAGCCACCAATTGAACAACAACCTGAGGTAAAACAGCAACCAACAAAACAGCAAGCCAAAAAGGAACAACTATTCGCCCCAAAGCGACCATGGATTAAGATACAACCAAAACTCCAGCCTATGACAACACGGCTATCAGTGACCAACACACAACCCTTGATAGCAAAACACAAGCAGCCACTGATACAAATACAGACCCAGCCTCTGATAAAACTGCAACATGTTGCACAAGAGCAACCGGTGGTGAAACTGCAACAAGTGGCACAACAGCAGCCGGTGGTGAAACTGCAACAAGTGGCACAACAGCAACCAGTTGTGAAATTGAAAGCAGTTGCACAACAGCAACCAGTTGTGAAATTGAAAGCAGTTGCACAACAGCAACCAGTTGTGAAACTGCAACAAGTGGCACAACAGCAACCAGTGGTGAAACTGCAACAAGTGGCACAACAGCAAACGTTTGTGAAATTGAAAGCAGTTGCACAACAGCAACCAGTTGTGAAACTGCAACAAGTGGCACAACAGCAACCAGTTGTGAAACTGCAACAAGTGGCACAACAGCAACCGTTTGTGAAATTGAAAGCAGTTGCACAACAGCAACCAGTGGTGAAACTACAATCAGTGGCACAACAGCAAACAGGGACACAAAATCTTGTGTTTAAGCTTCATCCGGTGACACAAAAACAAGTGATGAAAGTTCAAACATCACCTCAACAGAAAGAGGTCACTCCTCTACAAGGGACACCTTCCCTGTATCGGTGTGGGATATGTGACAAAGCATTCGGTACCCCCGGAGCGCTCATCGTTCATGTGAAAACCCACTCCAAGAAGATCGATGAGTTAAACTGCTTCAGGTGTGGGAAGGTCTCTCCCACCTTGAAACAGGCTTTTGAACATATGAACACTCACGATGCCTGCTCTCTCGACAGACCGTACGGTTGTCCTGTTTGCAAGAAGACCTTTCAGCGTTCCTGGCATTTGTCAGGACATCTCCAGACACACAAGGGACTGCTGACACACGGGAACGTCACCATGTGTGCTATCTGTGGTTCCCAGTTCAAGCAGGCCTCAAGCCTGCGGAAACACATGCACTGTCATATGCGGGAGTCGGATAAGGGTTTGGTGGAGCTGGTGGACAAAGTGGACCCTGCGTTGATGCCAGTCGCAGAGAGTTACCCCTGTGAGAAGTGTGGCCTGGTTTTTCGTTCCAAGAATAGGAAGGCCGTCCATGTTCGTTATGTTCATAAACGAATGGCGCTGAACAAGTGCAAGCAGTGTGAGAAGACGTTCTACTCGCCGTCGGAGTTGGAGCGACACACAAGGACACACACAGGGGAGAAACCGTTTGGATGTGATCAATGCGGGAAGGCGTTCGCCCTTTCTACCACACTGAAGGATCACCTGAGATCCCACACAGGCGAACGACCTTTTAAATGTTCTATATGTTTGAAATCGTATTCTTCATCTTCGATACTTGGACGACACAAGCTCACCCATGTCGGTGAGCGCAAGTTCAAGTGTGACATCTGTGATAAGAGCTTTCTGTACTCCAACTCACTCACGGTGCACATGCGGACCCACACAGGGGACCGGCCCTTCTCCTGTAACATCTGCGGAAAGACGTTCACAGCGTCGTGTCACTACCGCGTTCACATGCGAATCCACACGGGGGAGAAGCCCTACAAGTGTATGTTCTGTGAGAGGCAGTTCAACAACTACGGCAGCCATTACCGCCACATCCGCACACACCCTGAGTGGAAGTCTACCGGGGAACAGGAGTCGGAGGACATTCCCGAGGTCTTAGAGGTCAAACAGGAGGTCACGTCTATCGACTCTTGTGATGAAAGTGACCTCGAGGGGAAGCTCCTTCCGTTTATGCTTTCATCTGCTCTGAAAACCAAATTATTGCAGACAAAGTCGGTACCAGATGAAAGAAAAGTTGAAGAAGCCAAACAGAATCCTGAAGCTGTATCACCATCTGCTCCAAGTACAGCAGTATCTGATGAATCAAGCCTTGTGTCTGGGACTGATGTGAAGAAGACCTCAGATTCAAAATCTAATATCGCCAGGAGTCCAGTCAAGAGCAATCTCTGTAGCGTTATCCTAAAGTCAAGTGAACCTCTAATGTCTGGTAGGGATGTTCGACCCTCACGCCAGCAACACATCCACACAGCAGCAGTTTATGCAAAGGTGATCAGGACCCAGGCGACCCCAGTGTCACCACCAGAGGTGGCACCAACAAGTATCAGAGAGAACTTGAAGCGACCCTTCGCGGGACCAACCACTTCTCCAGGTAAGAAGGTGAAGGTGACTGGCAAGAGGAGGAGGGAGGAGAAGGCGACGGGACCCATTCTGAACAGATCCCCATCCACATCCAGCATCATAGCCCAGATGCTGCAGTCTCAGACAGACAGTTGATATGGGGAATATGTGCCGTGGATGTAGGTAATACAGACTACTACTGGCAGTATGTTCTGTGTAACTTTGTGAAACAGTATTCCCAGACAGTTGATACAGGGAATATGTGCCGTGCATGTAGGTGATGTAGACTACTCCTGAGAATGTTCTATGGTACTTTGTAATACAGTTATCCACAGACAGTTGATACAGGGAATATGTGCCATGGATGTGGGTGATGTAGATTACTCCTGAGAATGTTCTATGGTACTTTGTAATACAGTTATCCACAGACAGTTGATACAGGGAATATGTGCCTTGGATGTAGGTGATGTAGACTACTCCTGAGAATGTTCTATGGTACTTTGTAATACAGTTATCCACAGACAGTTGATACAGCGAATATGTGCCATGGATGTGGGTGATGTAGATTACTCCTGAGAATGTTCTATGGTACTTTGTAATACAGTTATCCGCAGACAGTTGATACGGGGAATATGTGCCATGGATGTGGGTGATGTAGATTACTCCTGAGAATGTTCTATGGTACTTTGTAATACAGGTATTCCCAGACAGTTGATACGGGGAATATGTGCCATGGATGTGGGTGATGTAGATTACTCCTGAGAATGTTCTATGGTACTTTGTAATACAGGTATTCCCAGACAGTTGATACGGGGAATATGTGCCATGGATGTGGGTGATGTAGATTACTCCTGAGAATGTTCTATGGTACTTTGTAATACAGGTATTCCCAGACAGTTGATACGGGGAATATGTGCCAAGGATGTGGGTGATGTAGATTACTCCTGAGAATGTTCTATGGTACTTTGTAATACAGGTATTCCCAGACAGTTGATACGGGGAATATGTGCCGTGCATGTAGGTGATGTAGACTACTCCTGAGAATGTTCTATGGTATTTTGTAATACAGGTATTCCCAGACAGTTTATACAGGGAATATGTGCCGAGGATGTAGACTACTCCTGAGAATGTTCTATGGTACTTTGTAATACAGGTATTCCCAGACAGTTGATACGGGGAATATGTGCCGTGCATGTAGGTGATGTAGACTACTCCTGAGAATGTTCCAAGGTACTTTGTAATACAGTTATCCACAGACAGTTGATACAGGGAATATGTGCCGTGGATGTAGACTACTCCTGAGAATGTTTTATGGTACTTTGTAATACAGGTATTCCAAGACAGTTGATACAGGGAATATATGCCATGGATGGGGGTGACGTAGATTACTCCTGAGAATGTTCTATGGTACTTTGTAATACAGGTATTCCCAGACAGTTTATACAGGGAATATGTGCCGTGGATGTAGACTACTCCTGAGAATGTTCTATGGTACTTTGTAATACAGGTATTCCCAGACAGTTTATACAGGGAATATGTGCCGTGGATGTAGACTACTCCTGAGAATGTTCTATGGTACTTTGTAATACAGGTATTCCCAGACAGTTTATACAGGGAATATGTGCCGTGGATGTAGACTACTCCTGAGAATGTTCTATGGTACTTTGTAATACAGGTATTCCCAGACAGTTTATACAGGGAATATGTGCCGTGGATGTAGACTACTCCTGAGAATGTTCTATGGTACTTTGTAATACAGGTATTCCCAGACAGTTTATACAGGGAATATGTGCCGTGGATGTAGACTACTCCTGAGAATGTTCTATGGTACTTTGTAATACAGGTATTCCCAGACAGTTGATACGGGGAATATGTGATGTGGATGTTGGTGATATAGACTACTTTGTGTTCTGTGCAACTTTGTGAAACAATATGACTCAACTCTGGGACTATGTACGGTGGAACTGTGTAATATTGTAGACCACAGTCAGACACTTGTTTGTTCAGTGTTCCGCAGCATGTTCCACTGAAGTATGTGAAATACATACAGTGTAATATTGCACACCATGACCTCTGACAGACATTTCATGTATGGAGCACATAAGTAATACATATGTATAACTCAACTTTTGATAGGGTTACTGAGATATTTCATGTCATTACAAGCCTCAGATGAAGACAGTTTGTGGAAAAGTGTAGCTTCTTTGGGTATCCTTGACAGCAGTCATTAGTAGCATTCACATGGTCATCTGTTTCTCTTTGGGGGGCGGTCGGGTAGCCTAGTGGTTAAAACGTTCGCTCGTCACGCCGAAGACCAGGGTTCGATTCCCAACAAGGGTACAGTGTGTGAAGCCCATTTCTGTGTCCCCCGCCGTGATATTGCTGGAATATTGCTAAAAGCTGCGTAAAACCAAACTCACTCACTCACTGTTTCTCTTTGGCTGCTTTTATTATCTTGTTTATATAGATTTTATAGATATAGTTAAACAGATTTTGTAGCGTTAAACTTGGATCCTACATATAGTCTCAGTATCATCCAAATAGTCCCTGGTGTGTCAGCACAATGTCCAGGGTTCTGGCTTCAATAAAGTGGTAAACGTTGATGATCAAGGCCCGACTGGTTATTGACATTTGAATATTTTTTGTGCACACTTCTCCCTTTTCTGTAGATCAATAACACCATCAAATATCACCATTAATATCTTTAATGAATCGAGGTTGCAAATTACAAGCTCAGAGTTACCTCCCTTCATAATATTTGACTCGTGGTTTTTAATTTCAGTACACTGTATTGATACTTTCACAGAATGAACTTTGTGGAAAAGTAACCTATCCGTTACTTAAGCTAGTGAAATTTGAAACTTTTAAGGATAGCTAGCCCACCTGGCCAACAATAGTTTGAGACTTTTTCACACACTGGTAGTGTATACAAATCCTTGATATCGTATTCGACGTAATAAGCGCCCAGGGCGCTCTCAGTATTATAGAAATAGGGGGCTCTTATTAGAATATTGTTTTGGTGAAAAAAAGAGAGTTGAAAGATAAGTTTCGTGGTTTATGCTGACAGCCTGAACTGTTTTATGCGACAGATATATTTTTCCAGAATTTAATTGCCCATAATTAAGGGTGCATATAACACACGAGTGCGTATTATATGCGAATAAATAAGTCTTTTGTACATTGATCAATCGGAAGGGGTGCTAATTGGGATTTTTCACTAGCCAATATATTAGCAAATATCGCCGTGGGCGCTTATTTGAGAGGGGTGCTTATTACGTGGAATACGGTATATTGATGATATGCCACACCATGTCAGCCATGTTCTTGCAAAATAGATACTGTAAATCTTGAAATTAATGCCTCTCCATATAAATATGACTGCTGACTCCTACCCAAAAATGCTGTGCAGTGAGGTTGCCTTATCGTTGATAGTCATTTGGGGGCCATTAGTGCGAAGTTTAGTTAATGCGAGCGAAGACTACTCGCATTTTTCACGATTTACAGTGATTAGTTTTGTTCAAATCACGAATGTTTGGTTTTTGTGTACAACTGGACATGTGCACGATGTTCAATGGACTCCACCTGTATTGAATGCATGTTGAGTGCGGCAGTATCTGGGAGGTTTGTTGTGTTTATGACGTTTGTTTTCTGTGGACATTCCATCATTCAGTCTACCGCCTCTGTGGTCTAATGGCAGAGCGTCCGCCCGGAGAGCGGAAGGTCCAGGGTTCGATCCCCAGCTGCCTCATACCAAAAGACGTTAAAAGATGGTAGTTGTTGTTACCCCATCTGGCGCTCGGCATTAAGGGGCTAAATAAAACAAGGACTGGTCGGCTCGGAGTCAGTATACTGTGTCTGAGTAGGGTATTCATGTTAAACTGCGGCATGGTATCTCAGTGGGCTAGCACTATAAATCAGTATCAGGCTGGACTAGTACAAGCAGACACACACACATACACGTGCATGCACATCGCTATATAAGTGCAATAATCTTGGACGCGACGATAAACACCATTTCACCTCACCTCACCATCATTCAGTCAATATATGTACATATTTAAAAACATGGGATTTGTTTGGAGGTTCCGAGATATGAGACCACACTTTATCAGATTGTGTTTGTGTTTTGTTGTTTAATGCTACACCTCGCAATATTCCAGAGTCTTTTTAATAATCCAGTGATTGATTTGTGAACAACGATCCACACCATGGGGTGTAATGACACGTAATGAACCCAGAAACTGACACCCGATCCATTTGTTGCCTCTTGCGAACAGCATGGGTTGCTTTTAATAGAGGATCCCCACCCGAGGCATGGTAAATGATAAGAGAGTCATAACGTATTAAGTATTTTAGATATAAGGATCCGTGAAGATTGAGGTAGAATTGGTTTCAGCAACCCATGCTGTTCGTAAAAGGCGATTAGGCTTGTCGTAAGAGGTGATTAGGCTTGTCATTAGAGGCGACTACGCTTGTCGTAAGAGGCGATTAGGCTTGTCGTAAGAGGCGATTAGGCTTGTCATTAGAGGCGACTACGCTTGTCGTAAGAGGTGATTAGGCTTGTCATTAGAGGCAACTACGCTTGTCGTAAGAGGCGATTAGGCTTGTCATTAGAGGCGACTACGCTTGTCGTAAGTGGCGATTTGGCTTGTCATTAGAGGCGACTACGCTTGTCGTAAGAGGCGATTAGGCTTGTCATTAGAGGCCACTAGGCTTGTCGTAAGAGGCCATTAGGCTTGTCATTAGAGGCGACTAAGCTTGTCGTAGTTACATACTCTGAGGTAGTTACATATTTTGTCACATTTTATTTGAGAATGTATTTCAAATGTTGATGCAGATTTTGCTGATTTTGAGAATGTGTTTCAAATGTTGATGGACAATTTACTGATTTGAGAATGTATTTCAAATATTGATGCAGATTTTGCTGATTTTGAGAATGTGTTTCAAATGTTGATGGACAATTTACTGATTTGCGAATGTGTTTCAAATGTTGATGGAAATTTACTGATTTGCGAATGTGTTTCAAATGTTGATGGACAATTCACTGATTTGCGAATGTGTTTCAAATGTTGATGGACAATTTACTGATTTGCGAATGTGTTTCAAATGTTGATGCAGAATGTGCTGACTTGCAAATGTATTTCATCACTAATCATCCGTTAATTTTGTTCATTGTTTATAAGATAAAATCATCTTCATTAAACGATAACTGAATATTATTGAATTATCTTGTCTTTCTCGTGAGCATTATCCAAATGGTGTAATCGAAATGTGTGGATAAAATCATGCTAGTACAGGGACAGTGGAATGTATTGGTATTCTAGGAGGTTCAATTTGTTTGTCCCGAACCCCAGATAACTAAAACATATTTGCCGTCCCCATGAATTCGACTCAATGAGGTTCGACTGTAATGTATGACCCTTCATATCACAGGCAAGCTAGGGATTGCTGTGACTGTTCTCAATCTGCATGCAAAACATGAACACCAGTGAAGATCCGGGGTAGAATAGGTCTTTAGTGACCCATGCTGGCCGTAAAAGACGACTATGCTTGTCGTAAGAGGCGACCAACGGGATTGGGTGGTCAGGCTCGCTGACTTGATTGATGAATGTCATCTTATCCCAATTGTGTGGATTGATGCTCATGATGTTAATCACTGAATTATCTGGTCCAGACTCGACTATTTACAGACTGCTGTCATATAGCTGCAATATAGCTGCAATTATTACAACAAACCAACCAACCAATCATATCACAGGCAAGCCAGGGATTGCTGTGACTGTTAAACAACAAACCAACCAACCAATCATATCACAGGCAAGCCAGGGATTGCTGTGACTGTTCTCAATCTGCATGCAAAACATGAACACCAGTGAAGATTCGGGGTAGAATAGGTCTTCAGCAACCCATGCTTGCCTTGAAAGGTGACTATGCTTGTCGTAAGAGGCGACCAACGGGATCGGGCAGTCAGGCCTGCTGAATTGTCTGGTGCAGACTTGATTATTTACAGACCACTGTCATATAGCTGGAATATTGCTGAGTGTGGTGTTAAACAACAAACAAACAAAAACAAACATGAACAGAGTTGGCAAACATGCTGAGGGCTTAAGTAACACTGATTTTATGAATGCTTCAATCAGCTTCTGGGTTGCCATTGATGGGATGTGTTCCCTCGGGGTCAGCAACTTGTTCTGTCCTGGATGGATGTGTTATAAGAGAGTACTTCTAAATTATATACATAGTTTTGTATTTGAACATTCTCCTTTCAGTAGCTTTGGTATATGGTAAGTGATGACTCCCACGACATGGTTGAAATGGCCTGTTTTGGTTGTTTGTTTGTTTGTTTTTTGTTTAATGCTGCCCTTTGCAGTATTCCAGCTATGAGACGGCGATCTGTAAATAATTCAGTCTCGACCACTCAATCCAGTGATTGACGTCATGAGCGTTGTAACGGGTTGGGGGTGGGGAAAACGTGGTTGTCAGGATGTTTTCAGTCCCATCCCAACCGTCAGTTTCCAAGAGATATTGTTAAAACGGATGTAAAAGAAAACTATAACAAATAATAAAAATCAATTGAAATCTTTACTTGTTGTTGTTCTTATTAATAATGACATTTACAATTTCAATATGTACATGAACTAACTGCAAGTCGTACTCTATTTTTAACGCTTGTCAGTTTTGACAGTTAGATTCTAGATAATTAATTTCTACAAATTGTATTTAATCTACTCGAAAAAGAATAATTACTATGCGCAAAGGCAGAGCCAATAATGCTGCACGGTAATTGTTATTAAAAAACTGTAAACGAGTCTATGGAATCATTATAAAATTTCTAAAAACTCGCTGGACCAAAAACTACAACTTACGTTGAGTCTGCTGTTTCTGGAACGAGATTATATTCGTGGTGACGTCACTTCCGGAAATACATGTAGCAGAAGACGCCAAAAGTTAGAGCGAGAAGAATGCGATTAAACACCAAATATACGACGTGACATTATCTAGGATGGATGTAATCTACTCAATAACATGTCCAGGAAGGTGTTTACGTAAGTATTTTGGAATAAATATATTTACTTTAGTGGATTTAGAGCATGAAACAATTCCGGAATAAACTACCCAACTTTTGATGACGTAAGCACCAGTAGATCGCGGGCCTTTGAGGTCGTCGCTATTTTACATACTTTTCGAGACCGTGTGTATGCGTTAGTTTTATCGACTATCGCTCTTTTCAAGGGAGACAACTCATCGCAACTGTCCAATTCGCGACCACTATTTGAGCCGATCACTGGAGCTAACTATAACTGTTAAATATTACTATGAAACATTTATTTGATCTAATACGTACAATATACATAGCTGGTCAAGCTGCTGCTGAAATCGCCTACCCTCGGCAGACTGTAGCACGGCCATTGCCTCCCAGCCCTTGGCGATAAATTCATCAAGCTGGGGCCTGTTTGTGGGAATATCCAGACAGGTAGGCCAGTGTGCCCCATGGCGAGCGGCAAGAGCCTGCTGCATCACAGTATTGCGCTCTCTGAGAGCTGCAATTTCCATCTGCAGATCGGACACAGATGGCATATTTGGGAGTGAACATTTGAGAGGAACTGAATCAATTTCTTTCTTAGGTTCTGTGACAGTCTGTGACGTTTGGACAGACAGGGCAGAGCAAGAGGAAGATGCTTTCGCTGATTTCCCCTTCTTACCCGCCCTCTTGCCCCGGGGACGCCATGTCTGCCAGGACAAACAGTAAACCCCAGGGTCAACGAAATTTTCATTTCGTTCCACTTCAACAGTCACATCTGCGCAAAGCTTATCAACCTGAGAGGTAATAACATTTGAATTTAAATGCTTGTGCGCAATATGGTATTTTAAACTTTTTAGTGAAGAGCGACAATCCTGACACTTCTTTACAGGGCAAGCAAATGATTTATGCACCCTGTGATGCGTTCGCGCCCAATGTTCTTCAAAGTCACGTCGCGATGCAAATGTCTTAGTGTCAAGGCAGGCAGGGCAGTCCATATTTGGTATGAATTTAATAAATTTCATTCCTGGCGCCCCCTCCATCACCTCTGGATGCACCGATCCCCATTGCTTGATCTCCTCTTCATCAACATCCAGGGTGAGAATGTCAGCCATCCTTCTGACTGCAAATAAGGAGTAAGTAACGCCTGCATGAGATATGTTGTAACTTCAACAGTGCTTATCACTTTTCTATATTCTAGATACATCCTAGGAATCATGATCCATCATCAGCTTCCTCAGTGAGAACTAGAGTGAATCCCATACCAACCAACCATATCCAGTAAATAGTTTAGAAAGCTTACATCAAGCCTAAATTTTAAATCTTTACCACTTAAAAGATATGTTGTTTAACATTCAACTTTTGTGCAAGACATTCTCTAGATCACATTTTGATCTGTTGCATCCACAATGCAACCGTAATATTCATATCTTCATGAAACTAAAGTATAAAGGGCTCTGACAATATGTAGGAAAACAAGTGAAATATAATTGTTTTCAGATTCATTTGGAATAACAGTACACTAACAGTATGTGAGAATTACTGAGAAGTCCACCATGTTGGAGGATCATCTCCCTCATAGGGCAGAAGTCTGTCAACATTGACAACCCGAGGTGAGTTATTTGAACCATCCTGTATACGGTAAGTCACATCATCAATCTGTTTGATGACCACCCATCCCTTCTTCCAGCGAGTAATGAACTTCCTGCTGGACGGGAGGTTCTTCCCAGGATTATATAACCACACTGGTTGTCCAACCTTTAGTGGAAACTCTTTAGTTCCCAATGTAAGTGTGTGATGTTACAGTGAGATGGTATTCTAGGAATACCCAACAGGTATGTGGCGTTAAAGAGATAGTATTCTTGGAATACCAACAGATGTGTGATGTTACAGAGAGATGGTATTCAAGGAATACCCAACAGTTGTGTGGCGTTAAAGAGATGGTATTCTTGGAATACCAACGGATGTGTGATGTTACAGAGAGATGGTATTCTAGGAATACCCAACAGTTGTGTGGCGTTAAAGAGATAGTATTCTTGGAATACCAACAGATGTGTGATGTTACAGAGATGGTTTTCTAGGAATACCCAACAAAAGTGTGATGTTACAGAGAGATGGTATTCTAGGAGTACCCAACAGGTGTTTGGCGTTAAAGAGATAGTATTCTTGGAATACCAACAGATGTGTGATGTTGCAGAGAGATAGTATTCTAGGAATACCCAACAGGTGTGTGATGTTACAGAGATGGTATTCTAGGAATACCCACCAGGTGTGCGATGTTACAGAGATGGTATTCTAGGAATACCCAACAGATATGTGATGTTACAGAGATGGTATTCATGGAATACCAACAGATGTGTGATGTTACAGAGATGGTATTCTAGGAATACCCAACAAAAGTGTGATGTTACAGTGAGATGGTATTCTAGGAATACCAACCAGATGTGTGATGTTATAGAGATGGTATTCTAGGAATACCCAACAGATGTGTGATGTTACAGTGGGATGGTATCCTAGGAATACCAAGCAGATGTGTGATGTTACAGTGAAATGGTATTCTAGGAATACCCACCAGGTGTGTGATGTTACAGAGAGATGATATCCTAGGAATACCCAACAGAGGTGTGATGTTACAGTGAGATGGTATTCTAGGAATACCCACCAGGTGTGTGATGTTACAGAGATGGTATTCTAGGAATACCCACCAGGTGAGTGATGTTACAGTGAGATGGTATTCTAGGAATACCCACCAGGTGTGTGATGTTACAGAGATGTTATTCTAGGAATTCCCAACAGGCGTGTGATGTTACAGAGATGGTATTCTAGGAATACCCAACAGGCGTGTGATGTTACAGAGATGTTATTCTAGGAATACCCACCAGGTGTGTGATGTTACAGAGATGGTATTCTAGGAATACCCAACAGATGTGTGATGATACAGTGAGATGGTATTCTAGGAATACCCAACAGATGTGTGATGTTACAGTGAGATGGTATTCTAGGAATACCCACCAGGTGTGTGATGTTACAGAGATGTTATTCTAGGAATACCCAACAGGCGTGTGATGTTACAGAGATGGTATTCTAGGAATACCCAACAGGCGTGTGATGTTACAGAGATGTTATTCTAGGAATACCCACCAGGTGTGTGATGTTACAGAGATGGTATTCTAGGAATACCCAACAGATGTGTGATGTTACAGTGAGATGGTATTCTAGGAATACCCAACAGATGTGTGATGTTACAGTGAGATGGTATTCTAGGAATACCCAACAGATGTGTGATGTTATAGTGATGGTATTATTGGAATACCAACAGATGTGTGATGTTACAGAGAGATGGTATTCAAGAAATACCCAACAGGTGTGTGATGTCATAGAGATATATTTATGAATACCCAACAGTTGATGTTACAAGCTCAGTGGCCTACCTAGTTTCGTCAGCCTTGCATTCATCAATGAGTCATCTTATTGTCCCACCAAGGAGAAGCTGACAGTGTTTGTGTGTGTGTGTGTCTTCTTTGGCTGGCTTACTGTCCTGGTTTTTTGGACTGCAAGATACAACAGAGCTGAAGGTAGGTGAATTATATATATAAAGTGCCTGAATTTCCATGGGTCCCATGGACTGACCCCCTGTTATTAACAAGGGCCCATGAAGTTGGGGTTGAGTATCTCCGGGGAACCCTAAAAGATCTTTCCCATTGTCACTCAGGGATCCGGAAATATTTTTTACAAGTAGTGTACACACTAATTAACAACAAAAACACATGTCAGTCTGGTTGCAGCTCTTTATTTTGTATCCTTTGTTATGATATACGGTCTCGGGTTGTAATGTCCGGCTAATACTTTTTTCGAAAATGTCTGTTCGCCCGGAGAGAGGAAGGTCCGGGGTTCGATCCCCAGCCGCCTCATACCAAAAGACGTTAACAGGTGGTACTTGTTGTTACCCTGTCTGGCGCTCGGCATTAAGGGGCTAAAACAAGGACTGGTCGGCTCGGAGTCAGTATACTGTGTCTGAGTGGGATATTCATGTCAAACTGCGACATGGTATCTCAGTGAGCTAGCACTATAAGTCAGCATCAGTCCGGACTAGTACAAGCAGCCACACAAACACACACACGTACATGCACGTCGATATATAAGTGCAATAATCTTGGACGCGACGGTAAACCCAATTTCACCTCACCTCATGTGTTAAAGTCTACAGTTAACATGCTTAAAGCATACCAGTCATTGATCAAGTCAGATGGCAGTCCTGTTCTACTGTTTATAGAAATTGTTGATATAAGGCGTTTGATTATGTAACGCATACTGTATTAAAACAGGAATGTGAAAACATTTGTTCATCTTATCGATTGGATTTGTTTGCTTCAGGGGAATGGTTGGAAGGGGGGGGAAGTCTTTGGGGGAACCTGATGGCATCAAACCTGTTACACAATAAATACTTACAAATTTCTTCCCCATTAGTTTTTGTAATATAATATTTGAAAGAGAAATCACCACAAAAAGTGTCTAAGCCTCATAAGCATTGTGTTAAGATTTTGATTACCGTATTTGATGTAACAAGTGCCCCGCTCTTATAAGCGCCCATGGCGCTATTTGCTAAGATATTGGCTTGTGAACAATCCCAATTAGCACCCTTTCCGATCAATCAATGTACACAAGACTTATTTCTTCGCATATAATACGCACTCGTGTGTTATATGCACCCTTAATTATGGAAAATTAAATTTTGGAAAAATATATCTCTCGTATATAAACATTTCAGGCTGTTAGCATAAACCATGCAATTTATCTTTTAACTCTGTTTTTTTCACCAAAATAATATTCTAATAAGAGCCCACTATTTCTAATTTTGAGAGCACCCTAGGCGCTTATTACGTCGAATACGGTAATACTGGAAATACCGAATCGTGACACTGATGTAAATATGTGATTTCCAAGTTGTATTCGTCATTGCAGGAACTTAAGAAATAGTTGGGTTTTTTTTCAGTAAGCAAGAAAACATTTCAGTCGAAGATATTGATATGGATTGAAAATAATTATTGTTTTCTATATATTAAAAATATAATACCGGTATGCATGAATATCGGAAGATTTTTCTTACTGACAAAAAAAGAGAAACGTTTCACTCACTCACAAATTTTGGAACAAACATATGTTAATTATATTTACAACATGAGGTATCAGGAAGACAAGGGAGACAACTATGTGAGGCTTTTTTCAGATTACCTCCCCCTTCCCCACTGTACAGCTCTAATGGTCACACACAACCAAACGTTTTCTCATGATGAGGTGATGTGAGGTGAAATGGGGTTTAACGTCGCATCCAAGATCACTGCACTTATATCGCAACGTGCATGTATGTGTGTGTGTGTGTGTGTGTGTGTGTGTGTGTGTGTGTGTGTGTGGCTGCTTGTACTATTCCGGACTGATGCCAATTTATAGTGCTAGCTCACTGAGATACCATGCCGCAGTTTAACATGAATACCCCACTCAGACACAGAAAACTGACTCCGAGCCGACCAGTCTTGTTTGAGCCCCTTAATGCCGAGAGCCAGACAGGGTAACAACAAGTACCATATTTTAACATCTTTTGGTATGACGTGGTCGGGGATTGAACCCCGGACCTTCCGCTCTCCAGGCGGACGCTCTACCACTAGACCACGGAGGTGTTTTTTCCCATGATAGACTTCTAAAGTGACATTACATATTTTTTAACTAGCCATTCAACAGCCATTATGTGTACAAGTATGCTCAGTATGGCCTTAAATCTACAATAAAAGCTCGAATTTTGCCAAGCTAAGCCAGTTCCTTTTCCAAGTACAGGAAGCTAAACGCACTGACACCAGTTCCGCACCAAAATTGTCACCTGCTTGAAAATATCTGTTGTCACATTCAGGATATGTCATCTTGTTAAAAGGACAGTACTAAATACTGAAAAGATGGACAGTTTTAATTACTGGGTGGATGTACGTTGATGAACTTACAATATCATCCAGTGACGGCTGCAAGATATCTCACTGCACACTCAAACTGCTCAAACAAGAGGAGCAGGCGGAACAACTGATTCTGATTTGGTGTAGTAGAACATATAGACAAATTTGAAAACATTTGAAAACATATGCACTTGGCAAATTTCTTCTTCTCAAGGCAAGCGTGTCAACTAGCCTATATCAAAGCCTAGTTTCTATTCTTGGCTCTTTTCTTGGCTCGACCGTGGAGCCACCTCGTGTAGATCACGAGTTGTGCCCCTTGTAATGAAAACGTGATATCCAATCAGATCGCTGTTCTTATCTCGTATAGCTTCACAGATGGCGACTACCAAAGCAACGACCTAGACGATCAGATGACAAAAACATTCGTGATTTCATCCCTGACACAAAGACATAGGCAATTGTAGGGGGGTTTAAAAGATGAAAAGGACATATTTGTGTGAACAAAGACCAGCAGCGGTAAGTCACTTTCATACGAAGGTGTACCAGTCGTGTATGTTCATTTTGGGAAACGTTTGGATTGAACTATGGATAAGTGTGATAGTCCAATCATATTTAGCACAGGAAAGTGGGCTTAATATGGCAAGGGTGTAAACAAGACTTTGATGAAAAGGCTAGAGGATGCTATCATATATCATATATGTAGTTTCTTAGAAACAAAGCAAATTTTGTTAAACTTCAGTTCTTTTTCCTGTCCCGGATGCCCACTGCGTGCTCAATCTTCACTATGAAAGCAGCAGGCCTAACCTGTAGGTTCTACTAAACCTAATCAAAATCAGTCATTCGGCCAGCTGCTGTGGGAGAGATCAAATTTAGATTGAGAAATCTGGCAGCCTTGGTTGGTTGATATTGTGTAAGATTTTTTTGTTTTCTAAATGTATATCCTTCCACTAATTCAATTTGACCATGTTTTTCTATAATTAGTGCTTTTTTTTCAGCATTAGGACTGATGCTGTTTGTGACCATGGATATTTTCAAGCAGGTGACATTCACTGCGGAATTAAGGTTCATGTGCTGAGCATCCTGTACTTTGAAAAGGTACTGGCTAAGCTTGCCCAAATTTGAGTTGTCAGACCGGACTGTGGAGACGTGATTGTACATGCAATGGCTGTTGAATGCCTATTCACTGAAAAAAGTATATGACCTCACAATAAACATCTATGGGAAAGCATTTTTTGCATAACCTGTGACATAGGCAGCTTTAAGACAAGGGAGACAACTATGTAAGTTATTTTTCAGATTATCTCCCCCTTCCCCAATGTTTAGCTCTGTACACAACAACATGAGGAATAAACATTGTATTTAGCGGTATTTAGCGATATTGAATCAGTGATATTTACCTGGTGGACCAGGTGTCACATAGGTGGTCTGCTCACACCTTGCAGGATCCGCAGGCCTCTCACATATTCTTCATGATGTGAAATCACTGAAACATTATACACAAGTTTAGTTTACAAGATAGACACAATTTTATGGATAACAACTTCTTAATACTGTAAAAAGCTTTTTACAGTATTAAGAAGTTGTTATCCATAAAATTGTGTCTTTCTTGTCATCCGCCAACTTCTAAGTAATGCCTATCAAACAAGTTAAGTTTAGTTTAATTGAGAGAGGAGTCGGTAGTTTCATTGAGAGAGGAAGGGGGCATGGGTGGCCCAGTCGTCTAAGGCCCCGCGATTCGCTGTGCAGAGTTGCGTCCCTTGGGCACGCCAGAAACCTATGATTGTGGGTTCGAATCCCGGTTCGCCCTGATTATGTTTCTAGGTTTGTCAGCACTATACCCGTGCTCGTGGGTTTCACCGAAGCGGTAAACGTCTGAGACTTGCATCACTTTGGGCTTTCCTCCCACATGAAGCTGACACACCGTGATGTAACTGGAATACTGTTAAAAGCGGCATTAAATCCAACTCACTCACTCACTCACTCATTGAGAGAGGAGTCTGCAGTGTTTCAGTTATGTCACAGTGTCTGCTTACATGCTATAAAGGCTTGACATGACATAAATCACCAATGGTAGTGCTGCACCATGACCGTGGAATATAAGTATTTTATGAAAAGCATATCCCTCCAGTAATTAAAACTGACCATGTTTATTCAATATCTCATGCTGTCTTTTTCAACAATGGACTTATGCTGAGTGTGACCGTGAATATTTTCAGTTAGCAGGTGACATTCATCAGGTGCGGAACCAGGGTTGTTGTGCTTAGCTTCCTGTTCATTGTAAAGGAACTGGCTAAGCTAGCCACCATGGTGATTTTGTTGGTTTTCAGACCAGACTGTGCAGACATTTACATTTAATTAAGAATTGACCTTCACTTTGTGTGAGTTCATTGGAGTATGAACCTTCATAGAGTGAGGGCCAAACTGTATGAACGTCGGAGCTTGCGACGACGTTCATACAATGTTTGACCCTCACTCAATGAAGGTTCATACTCCAATGAACTCACACAAAGTGAAAGTCAATTCTTATAATTTTTTTATCACAATTTCTTACCTCAAAGGATGTAGGCCTAGATCTAAACACAATTTTATTTAGTACATGGGACTTCATGTTTACACTGATAGCCAAACAACAACCAGCTGTATCGCGGAGTAAAATAGTTCCTCAAAAAGAGAGATGACATAGGCGTATGGATGCACAACTTGCTCTTCAGAAACATCTTACGCAGCACACGTGTTCAAATCATATCCTCATTAGATGAGAAAGGTCTGTAAAGAACTACCTCAGTAAGTCAGTCACAATGACAGCGCGTCGTAATACATTTCATCAAGTACAAGACGTCAAAATGGCCGACACGATAAACGTGACGGGAAAGATTTCCGAAGTTGTTAATGAACCTGTGGCGGTTACATGTGTTATCCATCATTGATCAACTGGCCGATCATTGAAAGGTGAATAAAGATGCGTCAAACAGACACAAAGGTAAATTCATAGATTGCTGGAGACGGTCAATGTCAGCCTAGGCACGGATCGAGTCGATACTGACGATAGTTTAGATGTGCATTTCTTCGTTTGTTCATTAGGATGGGCCGTAGCGAGGATATTCGTGAACAATCATGCAGTCACGCTCTCTGACATTTCTCAAAGTATACTGAAACGCTGAGACCAAGAATAAAGGTTCTAAATGATCAGAAAGAACGCTTATGCATGTTTTCGTGCTAGGGAATTCCCAGGGGTTTCCCCAGGAATGTGGAAGTAGTCTGTCAGTGTTTACGTCATTTCAAGAACACGGTCTCGTGAAAAACGTATGAAGGTCAAATAGTGTGGTTCATACACTTATGAACATCATTTTCGCGGTCATGTGACCGACCTCTTCGTCCAGTGGAAAAGCTGTATATCGTGTAAACTTCAAATTAAAAAATTATTGGTTGTTGAATGCCTATTCAATAAAAAAGTAAAACCTTACAATAAATATCTATGGGAAAACATTTGGTTTTGCATAACCTGTGATATGAGGGATCATGGCGACAAGGGAGACAACTATGTAAGTTATTTTTCAGATTATCTCCCCCTTCCCCACTGTTCAGCTCTGTACACAACAACACGAGGCAGTGGTTACCATGAGTAAAGATCCCAGCTATGCTTGACATTTTCTGTACACGGACAGTTGTCTACATAGTATCTTTACCGCTGATGTTTATGGAAGGAGATTTGTCAGTGTTTCGAATGGTAATAACCAGTATAAGGAATAAACATTGTATTTAGCGAGCCTTGGTAAGCAAACTAATATTGTTTATTCCTAATACATGCTCATTTGAAAACTCAACTTAAATATGAAATCTCTTCTGATTACACTGGATTACCTAAAGAGACTTTTGTTAAAAAAAGAAAAAGCTACTAGCCCTTATACAACGAGACTTGTTGTGCCAATATGTCATCACTGATACTTACCTGGTGGATCAGGTGTGTCACACAGGTGGACTGCTCACGCTTTGCAGGATCCGCAGGCCTCACCCATATTCTTCATGATGTGAAGTCACTGAAACATTATACACAAGTTTAGTTCAGTTGAATGAGGAGTCGAGTGTTTCAGTTATGTCACAGTGTCTGCTTACGTGGGATAAACATGATAAAGGCTTGACAGGACATAAATCACAGATAGTAGTCCTATACCATGACTGTGGAATATAACTATGTTATGTGGAATAAAGGCTTGACATGACATAAATCACAGATAGTAGTCCTATACCATGACTGTGGAATATAACTATTTTATGTGGGATAAAGGCTTGACAGGACATAAATCACAGATAGCAGTCCTATACCATGACTGTGGAATATAACTATTTTATGTGGGATAAAGGCTTGACAGGACATAAATCACAGATAACAGTCCTATACCATGACTGTGGAATATAACTATTTTATGTGGGATAAAGGCTTGACAGGACATAAATCACAGATAGCAGTCCTATACCATGACTGTGGAATATAACTATTTTATGTGGGATAAAGGCTTGACAGGACATAAATCACATATAGTAGTCCTATACCATGACTGTGGAATATAAGTATTTTATGGAAACAAGGTGAGGTGAGGTGAAATTAGGGTTTGATGTCGCGTACAAGATTATTGCACTTATATAGCGACGTGCTTGCACGTGTATGTGTGTGTGTGTGGCTGCTTGTACTAGTCCCGACTGATGCCGATTTATAGTGCTAGCCACTGAGATACCATGCCAGAGTTTAACATGAATACCCCACTCAGACACAGTATACTGACTCCGAGGCCGACCAGTCCTTGTTTTTGCCCCTTAATGCCGCGCGCCAGGCAGGGTAACAACAAGTACCATCTTTTAACGTCTTTTGGTATGACGTGGTCGGGGATCAAACTCCGGACCTTCGCCTGTAGATATATAAAAGCAAGTCTAGCCAGCTCTAGCAATATCTAGCCACCTCTATTCCACAGCATCAGAAAAATGATTCAGGAAAATCATTTGTTTTAATTTTAAAGGAGAGAAATGCATTGTGTAATGATAGATTTCATTGACTATATGTTGGCCGACATAGATAGAGATTTCTTGTGAATACGGGGGCGGTCGGGTAGCCTAGTGGTTAAAGCGTTCGCTCGTCACGCAGAAGACCCGGGTTCGATTCCCGACATGGGTACAATGTGTGAAGCCCATTTCTGGTGTCCCCCGCCGTGATATTGCTGGAATATTGCTAAAAGCGGCGTAAAACCCCACTCACTCACTCACTCTTGTGAATACGGAAAGGGTTTTGTTGCTTTTATTTATTAGAAGTTGATGGATGACAAAGGAGACATAATTTATGGATAAAAAACTTCAATAATATACTATTAGAGCAATGCCTTGGTATAGATCCTTGTACTGTTGTCAAGCAAGACAGCTTGTAAGCTTTTTGCATATTTTATGCGAGTTGGCTGAAAAATTAACCACAAAGACCCTAACTACAAAGTGAATGAGTGAGTTTGGTTTTACGCCACTTTTAGCAATATTCCAGCAATATATCACGGCAGGGGACACCAGAAATGGGCTTCACACATTATACCCATGTCGGGATTCGAACCTGGGTCTTCGGTGTGACGAGTGAACACTTTAACCACTAGGCTACCCGACCATCCCCCTTACTACAAAGGATGTACAGTACATCGTAAACAGTTTGCATGTATTCAGTACAATAATTCCCATACTTACAGGCTGTACTTTACCCAATACCAACCAGGCAGCATCTGTCTGCCGGCATCAAGGTGTCCAGGTGTTCTGTGTTGATAAAGTATCTCCAGCTGAAAGGGCTGCCAGCTTAAGGGGGACGGTGTTCCTTTCTTTGCTCCTGTCCTAGGTGGACAGTGCAGATCAAGGTGTCCAGGTGTTCTGTGTTGATAAAGTATCTCCAGCTGAAAGGGATATAATGGTCTCTTATGAAACGATCAAATCATGCGTACACTGAAGTTGACTGAAGCTTTATCTTCACTCAAACATACATGTATACAAGTCAAAAGGAATGTGTGCATCATCAGAAAGAAATGCTGAGCTATAGTGAGTTTTTGTCATTAAACAATATGTCACGTGACTAACCACAGGTCCGGGAAGTACTGTGGGTACCCGGGTCCTACTCATGACCCACTCGACCCCGGTACCCAAGTTACCCGTCCCAGCCGTAGAATCCTATAAGTCAGACTATTTGTGGCCATTATCATGCTAATCTGCTTACATATCATAATTCTGCAAATGACGATGTTGTAATTTCTTCTGTGGAGGACTTCTTGCACAACCAGATACCAGTGGAATCAGGGCTCTCCAGCATCGTTGGCAGACATTTTTGGAGGGTATAGGCTCGGCACTTTTCAGTCACCCCTAGCATCTGGACATTTTCAAATATATTTATATGATCATTTCATCAAGTTTTGATCACTAAGTGTTCAGAAATCTATTTCCTGTGAAATTTGATTGCATCAATTGAAAATATTACAATTGTTAACGCAGGTTAATGGCTTGATGGCGTGATGGCTTATGCTTCATGGTCCACAAGGACTGCAGGTTAACACTGGCTGTATATAGTCCACAAGTACTGCAGGTGTAACACAGGCTGTATACAGTCCACAAGTACTGCAGGTTAACACTGGCTATATACAGTCCACAAGTACTGCAGGTTAACACTGGCTGTATACAGTCCACAAGGACCTCAGGTTAACACTGGCTGTATATAGTCCATGAGTACTGCAGGTTAACACAGGCTGTATACAGTCCACAAGGACTTCAGGTTAACACTGGCTATATACAGTCCACAAGGACCTCAGGTTAACACTGGCTATATATAGTGCACAGTTACTGCAGGTTAACACAGGCTGTATACAGTCCACAAGGACTTCAGGTTAACACTGGCTATATATAGTCCACAAGGACCGCAGATTAACACTGGCTATATACAGTCCACAAGGACCTCAGGTTAACACTGGCTGTATATAGTCCACAAGTACTGCAGGTTAACACTGGCTATATATAGTCCACAAGGACCACAGGTTAACACTGGCTATATACAGTCCACAAGGACTGCAGGTTAACACAGGCTGTATACAGTCCACAAGTACTACAGGTTAACATTGGCTATATATAGTCCACAAGTACTACAGGTTAACACTGGCTATATATAGTCCACAAGGACTGCAGGTTAACACTGGCTGTATATAGTCCACAAGTACTGCAGGTGTAACACAGGCTGTATATAGTCCACAAGTACTACAGGTTAACACTGGCTATATATAGTCCACAAGGACCACAGGTTAACACTGGCTATATACAGTCCACAAGGACTGCAGGTTAACACAGGCTGTATACAGTCCACAAGTACTACAGGTTAACATTGGCTATATATAGTCCACAAGTACTACAGGTTAACACTGGCTATATATAGTCCACAAGGACTGCAGGTTAACACTGGCTGTATATAGTCCACAAGTACTGCAGGTGTAACACAGGCTGTATATAGTCCACAAGTACTACAGGTTAACACTGGCTATATATAGTCCACAAGGACTTCAGGTTAACACTGGCTATAAATAGTCCACAAGTACTACAGGTTAACACTGGCTATAAATAGTCCACAAGGACTGCAGGTTAACACAGGCTGTATATAGTCCACAAGTACTGCAGGTTAACACAGGCTATATATAGTCCACAAGTACTGCAGGTTAACACTGGCTATATACAGTCCACAAGGACTTCAGGTTAACACTGGCAATATACAGTCCACAAGGACCTCAGGTTAACACTGGCTGTATATAGTCCACAAGTACTGCAGGTTAACACTGGCTATATACAGACCATAAGGACCGCAGGTTAACACTGGCTATATACAGTCCACAAGGACCTCAGGTTAACACAGGCTGTATATAGTCCACAAGTACTGCAGGTTAACACTGGCTGTATATAGTCCACAAGTACTGCAGGTTAACACTGGCTATATATAGTCCACAAGGACTACAGGTTAACACTGGCTGTATATAGTCCACAAGTACTGCAGATTAACACTGGCTGTATATAGTCCACAAGGACTGCAGGTTAACACTGGCTATATACAGTCCACAAGTACTGCAGGTTAACACTGGCTGTATACAGTCCACAAGGACCTCAGGTTAACACAGGCTGTATATAGTCCACAAGTACTGCAGGTTAACACTGGCTGTATATAGTCCACAAGTACTGCAGGTTAACACTGGCTATATATAGTCCACAAGGACTACAGGTTAACACTGGCTGTATATAGTCCACAAGTACTGCAGATTAACACTGGCTGTATATAGTCCACAAGGACTGCAGGTTAACACTGGCTATATACAGTCCACAAGTACTGCAGGTTAACACTGGCTGTATACAGTCCACAAGGACCTCAGGTTAACACTGGCTGTATATAGTCCATGAGTACTGCAGGTTAACACAGGCTATACATAGTCCACAAGTACTACAGGTTTACATAGGCTGTATACAGTCCACAAGTACTTCAGGTTAACACTGGCTATATACAGTCCACAAGGACAGCAGGTTAACACTGGCTATATACAGTCCACAAGGACCGCAGGTTAACACAGGCTGTATACAGTCCACAAGGACTACAGGTTAACACTTGCTATATATACAGTCCACAAGGACTACAGGTTAGCACTGGCTGTATATAGTCCACAAGTACTACAGGTTAACACTGGCTGTATATAGTCCACAAGTACTGCAGATTAACACTGGCTGTATATAGTCCACAAGGACCGCAGGTTAACACTGGCTATACATAGTCCACAAGTACTACAGGTTTACATAGGCTGTATACAGTCCACAAGTACTTCAGGTTAACACTGGCTATATACAGTCCACAAGGACCGCAGGTTAACACTGGCTATATACAGTCCACAAGGACCGCAGGTTAACACAGGCTGTATACAGTCCACAAGGACTACAGGTTAACACTTGCTATATATACAGTCCACAAGGACTACAGGTTAGCACTGGCTGTATATAGTCCACAAGTACTACAGGTTAACACTGGCTGTATATAGTCCACAAGTACTGCAGATTAACACTGGCTGTATATAGTCCACAAGGACCGCAGGTTAACACTGGCTATACATAGTCCACAAGTACTACAGGTTTACATAGGCTGTTTACAGTCCACAAGTACTGCAGGTTAACACTGGCTGTATATAGTCCACAAGTACTGCAGGTTGACAATGGCTATATACAGTCCACAAGTACTACAGGTTAACACTGGCTATATATAGTCCAAAAGTACTGCAGGTTCACACTGGCTATATATAGTTCACAAGGACCGCAGGTTAACACTGGCTATATATAGTCCAAAAGTACTGCAGGTTGACACTTGCTATATATAGTCCACAAGGACAGCAGGTTAACACTGGCTGTATACTTTCAACAAAGACTGTAGGTTAACACTGGCTATATATAGTCCGCAATGACCGCAGGTTAACACTGGCTGTATATAGTCAACGAGGGCTTCAGGTTAACACTGGCTATATATAGTCCACAAGGACTGCAGGTTAACACTGGCTGTATATAGTCCACAAGTACTGCAGGTTAACACTGGCTGTATATAGTCCACAAGGACTGCAGATTAACACTGGCTGTATATAGTCCACAAGGACCGCAGGTTAACACTGGCTGTATATAGTCCACAAGTACCGCAGGTTAACACAGGCTGTATATAGTCCACAAGGACTTCAGGTTAACACTGGCTGTATACTTTCAACAAAGACTGTAGGTTAACACTGGCTATATATAGTCCACAAGTACTACAGGTTAACACTGGCTATAAATAGTCCACAAGGACCGCAGGTTAACACTGGCTGTATATAGTCCACAAGTACTAAAGGTTAACACTGGCTGTATATAGTCCACAAGTACTACAGGTTAACACTGGCTATATATAGTCCACAAGGACCGCAGGTTAACACTGGCTGTATATAGTCCACAAGTACCGCAGGTTAACACAGGCTGTATATAGTCCACAAGGACTTCAGGTTAACACTGGCTGTATGTAGTCCACAAGTACTGCAGATTAACACTGGCTATATGTAGTCCACAAGTACTGCAGGTTAACACTGGCTATATACAGTCCACAAGTACTACAGGTTAACACTGGCTGTATATAGTCCACAAGGACTTCAGGTTAACACTGGCTGTATGTAGTCCACAAGTACTGCAGGTAAACACTGGCTATATATAGTCCACAAGTACTACAGGTTAACACTGGCTATATACAGTTCACAAGTACTACAGGTTAACACTGGCTATATATAGTCCACAAGGACCGCAGGTTAACACTGGCTGTATACAGTCCACAAGTACTGCAGGTTAACACTGGCTGTATATAGTCCACAAGTACTACAGGTTGACACTAGCTATATACAGTCCACAAGGACCGCAGGTTAACACTGGCTGTATTTGGTCCACAAGTACTGCAGGTGTAACACAGGCTGTATATAGTCCACAAGTACTACAGGTTAACACTGGCTATATATAGTCCACAAGTACTGCAGGTGTAACACTGGCTGTATATAGTCCACAAGTACCACAGGTTAACACTGGCTATATATAGTCCACAAGGACTTCGGGTTAACACTGGCTGTATATAGTCCACAAGGACTTCAGGTTAACACTGGCTATATATAGTCCACAAGTACTACAGGTGTAACACAGGCTGTATATAGTCCACAAGGACTACAGGTTAAGACTGGCTGTATATAGTCCACAAGGACTACAGGTCAACACTGGCTATGTATATTCCACAAGTACTACAGGTTAACACTGGCTATATACAGTCCACAAGGACTGCAGGTTAACACAGGCTGTATTCAGTCCACGAGTACTACAGGTTAACACTGGCTATATATAGTCCACGAGGACTGCAGGTTAACACTGGCTGTATACAGTCCACAAGTACTGCAGGTTAACACTGGCTATATATAGTCCACAAGGACTACAGGTTAACACTGGCTGTATAGTGTCCACAAGGACTACAGGTTAACACTGGCTATATACAGTCCACAAGCACTACAGGTTAACACTGGCTGTATAAGTTCACAAGTACTACAGGTTAACACTGGCTATATATAGTCCACAAGGACCGCAGGTTAACACTGGCTGTATATAGTCCACAAGTACCGCAGGTTAACACAGGCTGTATATAGTCCACAAGGACTTCAGGTTAACACTGGCTGTATGTAGTCCACAAGTACTGCAGATTAACACTGGCTATATGTAGTCCACAAGTACTGCAGGTTAACACTGGCTATATACAGTCCACAAGTACTACAGGTTAACACTGGCTGTATATAGTCCACAAGGACTTCAGGTTAACACTGGCTGTATGTAGTCCACAAGTACTGCAGGTAAACACTGGCTATATATAGTCCACAAGTACTACAGGTTAACACTGGCTATATACAGTTCACAAGTACTACAGGTTAACACTGGCTATATATAGTCCACAAGGACCGCAGGTTAACACTGGCTGTATACAGTCCACAAGTACTGCAGGTTAACACTGGCTGTATATAGTCCACAAGTACTACAGGTTGACACTAGCTATATACAGTCCACAAGGACCGCAGGTTAACACTGGCTGTATTTGGTCCACAAGTACTGCAGGTGTAACACAGGCTGTATATAGTCCACAAGTACTACAGGTTAACACTGGCTATATATAGTCCACAAGTACTGCAGGTGTAACACTGGCTGTATATAGTCCACAAGTACCACAGGTTAACACTGGCTATATATAGTCCACAAGGACTTCGGGTTAACACTGGCTGTATATAGTCCACAAGGACTTCAGGTTAACACTGGCTATATATAGTCCACAAGTACTACAGGTGTAACACAGGCTGTATATAGTCCACAAGGACTACAGGTTAAGACTGGCTGTATATAGTCCACAAGGACTACAGGTCAACACTGGCTATGTATATTCCACAAGTACTACAGGTTAACACTGGCTATATACAGTCCACAAGGACTGCAGGTTAACACAGGCTGTATTCAGTCCACGAGTACTACAGGTTAACACTGGCTATATATAGTCCACGAGGACTGCAGGTTAACACTGGCTGTATACAGTCCACAAGTACTGCAGGTTAACACTGGCTATATATAGTCCACAAGGACTACAGGTTAACACTGGCTGTATAGTGTCCACAAGGACTACAGGTTAACACTGGCTATATACAGTCCACAAGCACTACAGGTTAACACTGGCTGTATAAGTTCACAAGGACTGCAGGTTAACACTGGCTGTATACAGTCCATAAAGTACTACAGGTTAATACTGGCTGTATATAGTCCACAAGTACTGCAGGTTAACACTGGCTGTATATAGTCCACAAGTACTGCAGGTTAACACTGGCTATATATAGTCAACAAGTACTGCAGGTTAACACTGGCAGTATATAGTCCACAAGTACTGCAGGTTAACACTGGCTATATAAAGTCCACAAGTACTGCAGGTTAACACTGGCTGTATACAGTCCACAAGGACTGCAGGTTAACACTGGCTGTATACAGTCCACAAGGAGTACAGGTTAACACTGGCTGTATATAGTCCACAAGGACCGCAGGTTAACACTGGCTGTATATAGTCCACAAGGACTACAGGTTAACACTGGCTTTATACAGTCCACAAGGACTGCAGGTTAACACTGGCTATATAGTCAACAAGGTCTGCAGGTTAACACTGGCTATATACAGTCCACAAGGACTGCAGGTTAACACTGGCTATATATAGTCCACAAGGACTACAGGTTAACACTGGCTGTATATAGTCAACAAGGACTACAGGTTAACACTGGCTATATATAGTCCACAAGGACCGCAGGTTAACACTGGCTATATATAGTCCACAAGTACTGCAGGTGTAACACAGGCTGTATATAGTCCACAAGGACTACAGGTTAACACTGGCTATATACAGTCCACAAGGACCGCAGGTTAACACTGGCTGTATATAGTCAACAAGGACTACAGGTTAACACTGGCTATATATAGTCAACAAGGAGGAAAGTGTGTTCTTTTATGTTTTCATTAGCTAATTTTGTCATGCTTCCTGCTTCCTTCTTCTTTGTCAGGAGGAGTTTTAATTTACCAAGGAATTGTAATCACATCACAACTGTTACGTAGATCAGAGCTCCAGATAAGCTTTTGGTGTTGTGGGTATTTTACCCATGCATCTTAAAATCATTGGGTATCAGTAATTCTATCTGGGTATTCAAATTTCTGTTACCCACTAGTTTTTACACATGTCGGTATTTAAGTTAAATATTTAAAAACACTATTCATCTAGTCCCTGCAAACTGGTGTCGTGTGGGTTCGAGAGCTTTATAGGACTCAAAAATATGATACTTCCACAAGAAAGTGTGATGGCAAATGATCATGATGTAACTGTCATCGTGGAATTTGGCAAGGTTGACGGAATGCCCATTTAAAATTTCGTAATAAGTTGCTGATTTGGAAATCGAATACGCAGGGCTACTTCACAATATTTTGATGATACGCACAAGTTTTATTTTTGTAGCGCACCTGTAATGTTATTTGCGTATTTGATACCCTTGGATTTTA